GTTCCTGACTTAGTAAAGAAAGGGTGGCTCAGGACAAACGCTCGCTCCTTCAGGAAGTCTACAACATCCTTGAAATTTGGCATCTTCTGTCCCTTACGCTCGAGATTCTTCAAATGTTCGGCAAATTTGGATTGCATCCACTTTGGCAGCCGCGCGATGACTTTCTCCAGATTATCTATATTCATCTCACTAAGGTATCCCATTGACTCTAAGGTATCATAGGTAACTTGTGCAGTATCAGCATAGCGCTGCAGGCTGTCCTTATCATTTGCTTGTATAGCAGGTCCCTTCGTAAGAGATTCAACACATGCTCTCACTACTTGAAATGGCTGGCCAAACCGTTCCTCTAGTGTCTTGAGTGCCTTTGCCAGGCCACCAGGCATTGGCTCATATCTCTGCACCGCAGTCAGGGCAGGACCGTTCAAGAACTGTAACAGACGGGTCATTTTCACAGCATCACTGAGGGGCCTGGTTTCAACCAACTGCTTAAATCTCTGACGAAAGGCTGGGTAATTTTCAGGGGATCCATCAAACTTCTGAACTTGTACGCGTGGTAGATCATAAGCGGCACTCATTTTCTCCATTGAAGACATAATAGCAACAAGACTGTCATTCATAATTGAACCAGCAGCACTGGGTGTGGCTGTACAGCGGTTGGTGCTCGTGAGGCATGGGGTTTCTTCAGTGGGTGGGTCAGCAGGTTGCGACTGGCCGTTGTCTTGAATACGGGGTTTAACAGTCTCATGTGTACCCTCATCTGTAACAGTAGGGGTTCTACAACTCACACAAGTCTGGGCATTTACTAATCCTGGTGTTGATGTGTGAGATGGCTTGGTTACTGGTACATCATTGGCACCAACCCTTGAGGATTGAGGCTTTGAGTCCTGTAGGTCCAGATTTGGAGACCATTTGATACCCTCCATTTCCTGTTCTGCTAACAAAGCCTCTAAATTAGCTAGCTCCACTTGATCTCTAGCAGCCATAACTTCCCTTTCTGCTTCCAATTTGGTGAGTTATAATCGGTGTTGCAATTCTAATTCTGTTCGTTTTATCTCCTTTTCGACTCTTTTTACCTCCAGTTCTACTAGCTTCTTACTCCTTTCTTCAGCTTGTTGCTGCATAAGTAGGGCCTTCGCTGCTTCTATTTTTGCCCTTTGGGACCTGGAGCTACACACACTTGATTTTGAGACACGACTACCATTAGATTTCACAGATCCTGGAGGGGTACACTCCTTGATTGATTTCACTTCTTCTAACACTTGGCTATTATAAAAGGCAGCGGCACTGGCAATAAACTGATCTATTCTCTCATTGTATCCCTGTATCCTTGACTGCTGAACCGCACGGTCGCTCAAGACTCTTTGGTACCTTTCACAGCTGGTATCGAGTAAATCACCGTATTTCTCAACACAAACACAATACTGCTCCCACGCGGAATTAAGGCTAGTTTGCACGGTTCGTATCTTGACGACGTTGCTGAAGTCTCCGAGATTTTCATCCAGTTGATGACACAAGTTCGTAATATTAGACAAATATCCCCTTCGAGATCTGTCCAACACCTCCAAACGCTCGAGTAGAATTCCTCGTTGAGTCATGACCTTTGATGTCACTTCGATTCACACGCACAAATATTTTCACAGTTAAGACTTTGGACGTCCAGTAATCACAGGCAAGATGCTCGTATGGTTTTTTACGAAGATGTCCAGGGGACAAAACGCGCTTTCACAACACAAGGGTCCCTGAACACAAGTTTAATAATCGAGAGTTGCACACTCAGCATATTTCCTCAACAACACAACAGGATCGAATTTGGAGTCTCATCTTTGGCTAACAAGCTTCACCTCGCAAGTAAAAACCTACAAAACAAATACTTAATCACTGCTGGAAAGGGATTTGGAAATAAACGAGCTCCTAAGACTCACCATACGATGAGAAACTCCCGGCGACTAGCGCGTTACAAAGCACATGGTTTCTTTCTCGCTCCACGACGACACTGAGACGCGCTCACTAAGCATGCTGGGAGAATAAATTACAAAATGGAATGGAACGGACTAGGAAAACAAAAAAATGTTCTCTTGTTGAGGATTGGCCTCAACAACAATCATGGGATTAGTTCTAAACGTTGAAACTGTAACTCCTTATGCAGCTTTCTTGGTCGTTGTCGTAACAAATATTTACTTCTGCTACGCTAATTTGCAGAAGAGTTACATGGAAGTCAAAGGATTTATCTTAAAATATTGGCAACAGAAAATGCAAGCAACCCTTAACAGCGAACATAGCACAATTCCAGCCAAGCTGTTTTGGTTCGTAAGTGATAAAGTGTTTCCTGTTAAAACTAAAATCTGCCTAATGCTTGGTGAGGTGGCTGTTATTGTCACTTTTCTGTTTTTGACGATATCTTCAATCATTTTCTTCAAAAATGAGTATGAAATCTCGACGCTTGTTTCCACCACTGCCGTTTTTTTAAGTGGGGCCATTCCCAGCTTGTTTTTTAAGGGGCTAGCAAAAGGCAGGAGGTTTACTGGCTGGAGGAAGATCGAACTGAAAAAGAAAATTGAGGAGGTAGTGACAGAGTACGTTGAAAAAACTCGCAGTGGTGGTGTAAACAGAGAAAGCGAAGAGGGAAACTCGTTTTAATTTGATAATAATGTAGTTGTATAAAATCACAGGCAGCTAAATGTGACAGTCATGAAAAAAGAAAGCCATTCAGTTTCGCAAGTCGGATAAAGCAATTCCTCATAATAAAATTACTTTGGGGTTACATTTATAGTTTCTTTAAAGCTGAGATTCTTGTTAAAGAATTATTATTAAGGGATGCGTATTAATGAAAGTAAGCTTGGTTTAAAACTGAACGTCAAAACCGTGAGTAGAAAACAAAGAATTCAGTGGCCGGATCTCTAGAACAGATCTGGATCAATAAAAATTAGGAATTGGCGGTGAAAATGATGATACAATTATATAAGATATAGATATTTTGATGTTTGGTCTTATTTTGTTTTGATCTTTAAATCTTGGCCTTGGATTAGTTTCCAGCGAAAGCTTGGTCTGCCTGCGATTTTCATAAAACAGCTGTTGCGATATGCTATCGGTAGAAGGGCTTATCGGTAAAGAAGAAAGTCGTAACCGATCATATCATAATATCAAAACTGGCTAGCCAAGGACCAAGGTGCTAGAGATGCGTAAGAGAGTATTTAAAAAGTTTCGTCTCAATATCAGTGCTGTAATTTTTAATTTTTGTTACGTAATTTTCTGTAATTGTTTTTTAAACGTTAGGAATTATGCCTATTAACAGTGTTTATCAGTCAGAAAGGTCTAGGTTCTTTTAGCTGAAAGAAGATATAATAACTTCCTTATCTCACTTTTGCTTTTAAATTTCCAGATTGATTGTTTAATTAAATATCAATAGTTATTAAGTCAGCTTTGTTACGTGAACAAAATACTATTCAGTTCTAAACTGATCTCTGTAATGAGAGGGCATAAAAATTGTTGTTGGTGTAGCTAAAAGGCATTAACTGTGAAGACGTGCGTCCAATAGAGAAGAATAGAAGGCAGATTTCCCCAAATAAACTCACTCTGGAAAAAAGCGATAGCCTACTAGTATGACCAAGTATGGGAGGACCCTGGATGTATTACTATTTACAACCCTTAGAGAAAAGAATTTACATCCCCTGGATTTAAGATTCTACAACCCCAGGACGTAAGGATTTTTTTTTGCTTCTCTTCCGTCGAGCGTGTCTGACACTCCTCGCCAGTTCGCACCCACCTTGCGCTTGCCCTCGCTAGCCTGAAAAACACCTAGAACTACACCCGTTCTGCAGGCTATGCACTGTAGCTTTTATTGCCTACAAACAGTTTATTCACGCTTTTTCTTGAACTTCTTTGAACAGTTATTTGTTTGTTTCTTTATTTAGTTTCCGGGTTTTTCTTTTGTTTTCAAATTGTCACCGTTCAAAAAGTCTAGTCGTTAGCGTCAGCATGAAAATTGTATCCAACAACAAACGATTAAGCGATAGTATAAGCTGCATGTTGTACATATGCGTTATTGAAAAAAGGGCTAAGAGAACCTGGGGATTCGAAAGGGCCGCGAAATCCATCCCGAGGCTATTACATAACCGTACCCATCCAGGTTCTGCTTGGAAGGGTTTGTAATTAAGTCCATAGTTTCTTGGGCTAGGTGGTCTAAGCATACGCATCCAGGGCTTGTTGAACAATACTTAAGGGGCGTAAATCCTAAGGTTATACAGTCAAAGGTGTTGAATACTGTGTCGAGAATTGATTCCATGAAATCTGTTAAATCCAGGAGATGTAGTTACATCACTAATTGATCGGCCGTAAAACATCCAGCTGTAGAATTCTAACTTGCGGGGTTAAATCCAGTGGTACTAAAACCAGGGGTTGTAAAATTCTTATATCCTGGGGTCTTACATCCAGGGGTAAAAAATAGTCTTACAACCAGGGGGACTTAGGTCCAGGGGCTGTAAAAGTCTTATATCCTGGGGTCCTAGATTCAGGGATCTTAGATCCGGGGGTTCAAAATAGTCTTACAACCAGGGTCTTACATCCATGGGTAAAAATAGTCTTACAACCAGGGGTTTTAGATCCAGGGACTGTAAAATTCTTATATCCTGCGGTCTTACATCGAGGGATAAAAAATAGTCTTACAACCAGGGGGTCTTAGATCCAGGAACTGTAAAATTCTTGTATCCTGGGGTATTACATCCAGGGTTTAAAACACCCCCGGGGGTTGTAAAGTCTTACATCCAGGGGTTGTACCCCTTACATGAAGGGATGTTACATCCAGAGGTTGTCAATCCTTATATCCAGGGGTGTTAAAAGTGGCTGTTTAAGAGAGGTGATTTATATAAGGGGGTTATTCTTATATCCTCGGCTCATTTTTATGTACGGGGGTTTATCCAGCCGTTGATAATGATCCAAAGTTCTCACAGCAAGAGATCTTCCGATCAGGAGTCTTACATCCAAGGGTCTTACAACTAGGAGTCTTACATCCAGGACGTAGATCCAGGGATCTTACGTTCAGGGGTCTGAGGACCAGGGGTCTTACGACCACGGGCCACGTCCAGGGTTTTTACGACCAGGAGTTTTACTTCCAAGGGTCTTACGACCTGGGGTCTTACATGCAGGGGTGTTAGGACCAGGGGCCTTAACTCTAAGAGTCTACAGACCAGGGGTCTTACGACCAGGGGTGTTACACCAAGGGGAGTAACGACCAGGGGTCTTACATCCAGGGGTCTTACGTCCACGGATCTTAGGACCAGGGGTCTTACATCCATGGTTCCTGCGAACTGGGGTCTTACGACCGGGGATCTTACATACAGGGGTCTTACGTCCACGGATCTTAGGACCAGGGGTCTTACATCCATGGTTCCTGCGAACTGGGGTCTTACGACCTGGGATCTTTCATACAGGGGTCTTACGACCAGCAGTCTTAGGTCCGGGGTTCTACCACCAGGGCTCCTACATCCAGGGGTCCTACGTCCAGGGGTTGTACGATCAGGGGTCTTACATACAGGAGCTAGAGTTTTACAGTTGGTGGAATATCATCCTCTAGGTTAGATTTTCTCAGATCCCTTCGCTTCTCATTTCCGGTTACAGTAGTAGGCCCCAGCGCGAGCGAAGGTCGATCGGGCCCCCGCTCTCTCGTTCGTTTTTTGCCGCAGAAAACATGGAAATCATCCCATTCGCGCCCGAGAAGAATTTTGAGTTCGACCTCTGGGTGAGTGTAGTACTGAATAGGACTTTCGTTGACAGTGACTGACATTTCGTCAACCTTTGCGGTAGTTACCAAAGTGAGTTGTATCACGTCAGGTGATCATGATATTAAACTCTGGTTATTGACCTGATTGGTCAAAAAAACTATTTTGCCTATATTGCCTCAGATAAGTCTAACTCTTTTTATTTTTATGGACAGAAATTACTCAGGTCATTTTATTTTTTCAAGTTTTCCGTAATGGTTAATCAACAACCAAGTCAGGTTAACATTGCCGTGTGTCAGGAATCAACCACCACAAAGCGTTCGTCTGACTCTTATATTTCTGGGTTACAGTGTCTTAGACATTTAGGCTATTTATAGATTCATCTTTTCACGTAATCATATGGAATCATACCAGGGTGACTAATGTAAGCTCAGCTTATCTCTTGAAGTGGGCACGACAGACACTTTGCTTTAGCCGAGGAGAGATCAATGTCTAAAGTACTAATTAGCGGTGACCGCTCAAATGCAGCCAAACTACGTAGTTGCAGGGGAGTGGTGTCAGGCAGCAGTATTCGCAGGCTTACTTAGCCAGAGACTGCGTGACTACAAAACCCTCTTACTGAGTTTCTTCAAACCGCCCTATTGCGTAGCAAGAGTTCCCACAGCTAAACAACGTAGAACACAAGCCACAAACGCAACGTATGTTGACCTCTTGCGTTTGATAAGTGACCCACTATATTAAATTCTCAAAATATCAGTCTTGGGGGCGGAAATTCGATGAGACCTCACGATCTAGCAAATATGTCCGCTTGCAAGCCAATCGTTCTTCTACTGAGCGTCGCATGTGTGTGCTATTTGGTATCTTCTGCTGCCTCTGAACAGAACTGCAGCGTAAAAAACTGTAAAGTACTGCCAGTTGGAGAGGATCTTGAATCGGAATTTAGGCTGAAGGCCTCCGAGAAGGGCGTGAGAATAATCTACTTGAATCTGAAAATCGGTAACAACAGCTACAATCCGCTGGACTTACCAGACGAGATTCTACCAAACAGTTGGATGTGGGCTCCGTCGATTACTGAACCTATGCTGTCTTTGCCGTTAGATTTCGATGTTTTATCCCTGGGACTTCTGAATTATCAAGTGCGAAGCATGACAGTGCCACTCAGAGATAAACCGAGCGGATGCCTTGCGGGCCTGAATTCAACATGTCAGAACATGGCCGTCGGAAGCGCACTGTTGGACAATGTCACAAGAGGCAGCTCCGTAAAGCTATCCCGTAGGACAGAGGTGGTTTGTGTTTTAATTATCAAGAAGGAACTTCATTCGAATTACCGGTCTATAAAGTATCATTGCTGTGGTTTTAATGTCTCTAGAATTAACTGTAATTTTCCCGTCATCAACAGCAACTGGTTCAAAGCAATAGATTTGTTTCTAGCTGTTCTATCGACTCTAGTAATATTTTATTCCCCGGCGCTCCTTCTACTATTGCCAGACTGTATTGTCAATCTGAAGAATGAATTTGCCGGCGAAAATGACACGGAAAATCAACAAACTAATGGCGAACAAGCCGATTCAACTGCTTTGCCCACGGCCGATGGAAATCAGCAAACTCCTGAAAATCAAAACGAGGAAGTAGACAGGGACAACGGCCAAGAACGTCCCACAGCCGACGGAAATCAGCAAACTCCTGAAAATCAAAACGAGGAAGTAGACAGGGACAACGGCCAAGAACGTCCCACAGCCGACGGAAATCAGCAAACTCCTGAAAATCAAAACGAGGAAGTAGACAGGGACAATGGCGAAGAACTTCCCGCAGATGACGCGAGTCCGATAACCTGTTCAACGCTTTTCCTCCAATGTGTCCAGCGGCTGCCTGGTTTAAAGATGTCGTTTAACCTCAAATTAGCGGTATTACTGTTTTGCATTTATCCGTTTCCCGTTTATGTTCAGCTGGGATTTTACCTTAACTCAAAGCAGCAATATATCCACCAACGCCTCACGAAGGTGCCGCCGTGGGAAGGAAATGAAATTTCCGACTTTTCCCTCTTCTTCATAAACAGAGAAAATACTTTTTATTTAGCCGTAGTGGCTTTAACATTTTTGATGGCTGCTTTGTTTTTAAGACCAAAAGATTTTTTCCTACCGAAGGAAACCTATTGTCTTTTGTGTGCAGCAGTTCACCCCTTCTTCCGTGTCGATATACCTGCTCTTCCTACTGCACAACTGAACCGAACTTCTGTTACTCTTGGAGAAAAAATGATTCAGCATATGAAAATACTCCGGGAAGTGGTATATTTTTCGATGTTTAAATATTTTAACCTACAGAATGAATGTCTAAAAATATTGGTTAGTCTTTCCTGCTATTTAAACGGATCACGTCCACTTTCCATTTTATTCCTTATATTTTATACTTTTTATGCACTATTTCTTAGCATTGGATTTGGTGCACTCTGTCTTCTCCCGCTAGTCCTACTGATATTTGGCCTACAATTCTTGTCACCATTAATGACTGTGTACTTTTTCAGCATGTTGAAAATTAGCATCAAGCTAAAAAATCTTATTCGCTCTTCTCCGGCTCAGAGTTTAATTTTATGCATGTGTGTTGTTAGTGGGTTGTACCTCGGTTTTTTCATATACGCTTTAATTCTCGTAGCAGCAGATTCATTTGGCTTTATTGCTGACTTAATAGGATTTACAATCATGGGTTTAGTTCTAAATGTTGAAATTGTAACCCCTTATGTAGCCTTCTTGATCGTTGTCATAACAAACGTCTATTTTTGCTATGCTAGCTTCCAAAGAAGTTACATGGAAGTTAAAGGATATATCTTAAAATACTGGCAACAAGAATCGCATACAACCGACAGTGGTGAACAGAGTACAATTCCAGAAAATCTGTTTTGGTCCGTGAGTAATCAGGTGTTGCCGGTTAAGAACGAAATTTGCCGAATGTTTGGCCACATAGCTGTCATTCTCATTTTTCTGTTTTTGACGATATCTTCGATTATTTTCTTTGGAAATGAGTATGACATTTCGACCCTAGTGTCCACCATTGCCGTGTTCATAAGTGGGGCCATTCCCAGCTTGTTTTTTAAGGGGCTGACAGGAGGAAAGAACCTGGTAGGGTGGAGGAAGATCAAACTAGAACGGGAAATTAAAAAGGAAGTGAAAAATTACAAGGCAAAAAGAGGTCGTGGTGGTATAAAAAGTGAACATAATGAAAGAGAAGAAGAAACGTCGGCACAAAATAACAATAACATGACTGTATAATAATAATAATAATAATAATAATAATAATAATAATAATAATAATATTAATATATTAATGTATAACACAGTCAGCCCAAGCTCATGTTACAAGCTTAATGGCATGGTTGGGCAATTAGGGCGCACTTAGCAGACGCTGTGAACAAATTTTTGAGAGGTCTTGTAAAAAGAATAACTGTTAACGTAAGCTTGGGTTGCCTTGCCTATCATGATACAGTATGTTTTCTTTTGTTGTGAACCCCTAGTACAATTACTAAGACGTCTCTTTGTAAAACTGCGAAGTAGAGCATGATTTTTAAAATTGAATTAAGTTAATTTTGATTTAAGGCTTTTAAGATTTAATTTGTCCTATGATTTTAAAAACTACCATGTTGAATAAATCAGTTGGAACCAGTTAAATATCTTTTTAGACAGTGAACTTAATAGGTTGCAATTGTTTCAAAAGCTTCCTTCCTACAGCCACAGTGCCCGGGGAGTACTCAAAAAAAATTTAAGGGGGGCGGACGGCTCCTTCCCAAGGTCCAAGCTCTTACCCTTTTAACGAAAATCTTTATACCATTTTGGACAGAAAAGGCATCCCGTTTCGCATGCCTTCCATTGAAGAATGGTACCCTTTTTACGTACGCGCTTGACTTCCTTTATGGCTCTTTATTAGATTATTGGATGCGTTTTTAAATAATAATAGAAAAACTATACCAAACGCACTACTTCAGCAATTATTATTTCGGCCACCAAGAGCAAAACTCACCCGTCACTGAAAGTCACACGAACTAAACTAACAAATGATCGAGATGTCTTTTGCATTATACGCAACAGATCTTGGTATTAAAACTGGCTACCCTTCGGTGCGAACTCTTTGGCCGGTTATTTAAACGGAGTTTAACCAGTGTTTACCAAAACCGTGTTCTAAGTAATTTTCAGTTTGCCCAACGCTTTGATCTAAGCACCATTTGTCGTGGACAGTTTCATTAAAACATACAGTGTAGACTAAAAAAGCATTTATCTTCTTAAATTGACCCACTAAAGAAGAGATCTGGAAGTTCAAAGATTTCTTAAACAGCGGTCTAAGTTAGACCTCGTTTAAATAACCGACCCTTTGTTTTCTAGCTAGTTCAAAAGTAGCGCCGTAAGGGCTGTGTATAAAACTGGGACGGCGACAAGGGGAGGGGGACTTTGGGACGCTTGTGTGGGGACTTGGGGAGGCGATACGAGGGACTTGGGGACATCATGTATGGGACGCTAGGACGTGTGGGGCGGGCACGCGGGACGTCAAATACAGGAACGCGGGATGTGAATGATTATAGCGAAAGTCGGAGGTAAATCAATGACTTTCCTTGTTAATATGTTTTTGGTGAAGGTAACCCACCCTACCCTCCTTTTGGTTCCTCCATGTCTGTTTACGAAGCCAAGAGTTGGCGAAGCTCCCCTGCATTGAAGAAAGTGAAACCATCGTCCTGGTGTTCGTGCTGATGGAATATTGGAGCGCTAATCAGGGTAGGGTGGGTTGCGGTCGCCAAAATTTGTATAGAATAACAGCATTCGACTCCAAATAAATTAAGTGGCTTAAGCAAGCTTCAAACCCCGAAGTACTAGCTGCGAAATCCATTGTCTGTAACACTACGCCACGGGGGATTTTTACATATTTTTAGTGGCACACTTACCGTATTTATTCGATTAACCGCCCTGGGCACTTATTAAATTTTTGGACCGTGAGAGTGGGCGCTTATTCGGGGTGGGCGCTTATTCGAGGCTGGGCGCTTATTAAATTTTCAGTATTTTGAGCAAGTGTAGTATGTTTATTTTGCAACAAAACAATAAATGGTAATGACAAAACGCGAAGATGTAACAAAGCAAGGTTCCTATGAAATACTTCGGGGAAGTCTCTTATTAGTACTTACTCAATTTGTGGGGGGTGGGGTGGGGTGGGGTGGGCGCTTATTCGAGGCTGGGCGCTTATTAACTTTTTCTACCTTTAGGATGGGCGCTTATTCAAGGTGAGCGCTAATTCGAGGTTGGGCGCTTATTCGAATAAATACGGTAATAGTAATGCTTCCCAAAAGTACTTAAAGGTTGATTTCCTCTGACGCGTTTTTGGCTACGCACGTGAACGCACGTAAATTTTAATCATGTAAATAAAATAGAGGCAAGAAATAAGGTGTTGAGAAAAAACGTAAACGTGAGGTTAAGCGAGGTTCTACTTTTACGATTAAGTGCGACTTTTTATTCATTGCCTCTATTTTATTTGCGAACGTAAATTTTACGCACGTACGCACGGAAAAATTACACGACAGTGGAAATCAAGCCTAACCCTAATTACAATAGTCAGTGCACTTACTTCTATTATATTTTGTGTAAACACCATAAGGTATCCAAAGTGGTTCTCGACGATGGAATCTAATACTGACCATAAAAACACATTTTCACGAAGACAGAGATATTTGAGAGAGGCATTCATTAACGTCCCTGCGTCCCCCGCGTCCCTGTATTTGACGTCCCTCGTCCCAGTCCCACACGTCCCCGCGTCCCGTACTTGATGTCCCCAAGTCCCTCGTCTCGCGTCCCTAAGTTCCCACACAAGCGTCCCAATTCCCCCGTCCCCTTGTCCCCATCCCAGTTTTATACACAGCCCAAAAGTCGTGTGTTCATGAAATTTCTCTTATGTCGTCAACCCCGTAAGCCCGTGTAAGCGGAAGTAAAATAACTTTCCCGCCCGGATGGCGTCCAAGAAATTCGCTGACATCGTAGACCTTTCCACGATGTATTATCTAAGCATCCTTCTCTGTACTGTGCTGGTGCTGCCGTACTTCCTCGGCGGAAAACAGAGGAAGGTTCGAGTCGGTAACGACCCCCTCCGCCATTTGAGCTTTGATTTGTATGGTTTAAAATCCAAAATCCTTTACAGTTCCCTGGGAACTAATTGGTTGGCAAAGACTGAAACCTGTTCCCAAGGCGCACGAAAGACAAAAAACAACCCCGACGAGGTTCAGCCTACGTCACAGACGGAACCAAACTCTGTGAAATGGCTAAAAGAGGTTGAGCACAAAAAACAGGAACAGGAGGTACCAGCCATAAATTTAGGTGGGGTGAGCCGCTGGGACATAAAAAAACCCTTACTAGGTACCAGACCAGGAAATTCAAATTTGGCGACCGAACTGTTTAAGAAAACATGTTATTCCTTTATCATGCAATTCCTATATTAAACCGCAACATTTAATTGAGTATGTGGTGTAGATCAGTTAAGTTTCCTTTTATTTATTAATACAAAGGACTTTTTGTTTCTTAGATGATCGTGAGTAAGGAGCCGATTACTCCAACCTCGTCCCCAGGATCTTCTCGCTTTCCAATATGGCGGCGGCAGGAGAGAAGACCCTGGCACACAGCAGAAATCACGTGACTGATTTGTCCACGGAGAGTGGAAATTTATTCAAAATGGCGGCCAAGATAAAGAGTGAGAGGATCTGGGTACGAGGTCTTGAGACTCGTAACAAACAAACAAAATGGCGACAAAGGCAAACTCAAAAGAAGCTAAAAATATGAAAGAATGCACTTACAAGCCACAGGAATACGGTAGAATGATATAGCGATCTTACTTTCTGTTCAGTGACCTTCATTTGTTTTAAGCCTGAACGTTCTAGCGTACACGGCACTTAACAACTGTCTACAACTTAATTTCTCGATACCGATCTTTTTTCAATGTCTTCTTTTTTGCCTACTCTGAGTACCAGAGGTTCAGTTTTCTTCTTTCGTGAAAGGGGGAGCTTTTTCTAACCGTGGGCGCAATTTATTTCATCTTAGGAATTTCAAGAACAGAGCTCTGAAGCCAGGGAATTTTTTGTCAGACGCTCTAAAACCTCTTCCGCTTCGAAATTCAACTAAGCATTAAATTGAGTCGCAGACACTTTGAGCTGATAAGTTATCGTCAGTTTTGTTACAGATCTTCATGAGGTTTTTGCATGCATGACTATTGTTTTTCTATCTGCATATGACTATTGTTTTTCTATCTGCTATGAACACATTTTAACTGAACTCTGATATGCAAAAAAGCAATTTTTTTTCTGAAAACAAGAACCAGAGAACACTATTTTGTTAATATAATTTGAGGAAACTTATTGGTTGAAAATTAAACAGTTCCTTGTTCAGTTTGGATATTTTGTCACTTGACCTAGTACAGGTAATAAAGCTATTGTAAATCTTCATCTACTTCACAGTTTTTACACTTTCTTTATATTGGCTTTTGATATCTAACCCTGTTCACAATGCTTCCAGGCAATAGAGATAGGGGCCTTATTTAATATAGTAAAGACGCTGGTATTAGTTCCCCACAAAAAAAAATGCCAAGTGAAAAAGCCCAAGTACAAGAAGGTTGGAGGCCAAGAAGCTGAGGATCAAAAACAAATCCGAACTTCCAGCTGGTGAATAAACCATCCTGGATCGGTTCACACAAAGTTTTACAGTTGTCATTGATTGATACGTATAGTCTTTTATTTATTAGGGAAGAATAAGAAAAGGGGGGAGGTGGGATAGGGGTTAAAAGAGACGGGGGCTTATTGTTAAAACCTTCTTCCACTGAAAAGGAGGGCTTATTTGAGAGAGGGGGCCTTTATAGAGGATATAAGATGTTATTGTTTTTTTTTGCTTCTCAGATGTAAAAAAAAGCATTAACACCACTTTAATAGCTAACAAAAGGTGAAGAGTGTTTCCATTGTTTGTAATATATCAATCCAAAATGTATTCTCCACTTTGAAATAGATTTGATTTTTAGAGCAAAAACTTTCTTAATCCCTGACTTTGGTTTATTTTACATATTACTTGGGGCTGCACTTTGCCATGTCAATGTGCAAATTGACTAAAGGCTTGACACCAGTTGTTCAAAAATTTGATAGTCCTATCTGAGTCATGTGCACTGTAAAAGTTCCTATCTTATTTGGAGATAATAGATCTTTTAAGTCAAAAACGCTTTGCTCATCAGATGGTCCCAGTTTAATAGTTGGGGTAATCTGATTATTTCTGATGATATGATTATGATACAGACACTATGACTAAGACTAACCAACACCTTAAAGTAGACTTTGGAAGTATTTAAACCAGCAAATCTAACAGCTGCAGCCTCACAGCCCAACACCTAAACAAGCTAAAAGCCTTGCCTTGTCCCAGTGTGGCATTTTCTCAGGTCTTTTTGGTCAATTCATTTTGGTGACTTATCTTAGGGAAACTGTTTCACTATTTCACTTGGGACCACATGACCTGAAACTCATTGGCTGTGACTAGGCAACTAAAAGCTCACTATGCTAATTGGGACTCTGGCACAAAACACTTACCTACACGAAAAATCCCATGATCAAGACGCTGCAGGCCCCTTCTGCTCTTGTTTTTTCAGTGGATAGTGATATATTAACCCTTTGAAGCAGTTTATTTTTTTTAAATCCAAGTTTTAGAACTGAATTATAGCTGCTTCATAATCATACCCAGCTGGTTTTGGAATACTACAGTACCAGCCACTATTTCACCTGGTCCACAAACCCCCTTTTCAAGCATATAGTGACACGACCAACATGCACACTTAGTCTACAGTAATTAGAAGCTCAATTGACAGGTTTTAGTTGACAGAAAACGTATTTATCTTAGGGTCACTGTCACCCCATGTAAGGGAATCCGGAATCTGGGAAATTTTTCTCTTGGAATCTGGAATAAAGGTCAAGTACTCTGGATCCCACTTATAATGGAATCCGGAATCCAAGTTCCACTGACAAAGAATCCAGAATGCAGTATCCATGGCCAAGAATTGAGAATCCAAGACTGTCAGATTTCCTTGCATGGGCTGATCACTGTTGTCAACTTGATAAAATAAAAGACATCATGTGCTTTCATTATTTTATTTTTGCAACTAGAAAGAAATCCCAGAAGCTTCAATACATTAACAAGGAAGTTTTTCATTTCTGAGAAAAGGAAACAGCTTATTTTCCCAATGTCTCTGTATTTAGATGTATTTACTGCCAATGAAATGAGCAAATAATAATAAATTATCGTTATTGTGACACTAAAAAACCGAATAAATGAAAAGTCAGGATGAAAAATATCAAAGGATAGCGACACTATGTTTGGCTTCAATTTTTAGTTTTGTTTCGACATCCGCCTCTCTCGCTCCTCATCCCCCTTCAAAATCATAGTGGAAAAATTAAAAGAAGGCCAGGTTAGGCCCATGCATATTACAATCAAATGAAAAAAAAAATGTTTCACTAGACAAAAAACTGCTGAGACAAAGCGCAGATTATGCAAGATTTCCGTGTAACCCCATACATTAATAATATTATGCATACAGCTTTTGTACAAAGAAAACAAAAGGCAGAACAATACTAAACCTTTGCAAACGGACAGCTAAATTTATTGATAAGCTGAAGCCTTGCAAGTATTGAAGTATTCTTTGACAAATCGGGAATTAAAGAAACAAATCTTTAGTAATTTAGAACATAAAAACCAAATAGCACGAGCAACAGAAATACCTCTACACCAATCAGCGATCGTTTTAGTTCGCTGTGTGCCAGGGTCTTCTCTCCTGCCGCCGCCATATTGGAAAGCGAGAAGATCCTGGGGACGAGGTTGCGATTACTCGTTTCCCCTGAAATGATGCCCTGTCCCCACCCTGTGTCCCTGTCCCGCCTGTTCCAGGCGTTCAGATAGGTATGATGGCGGTGCAATGTCAGGGGAGGAGAGCTGGGGGAGAGGAGCAACGAGCAACCCTTCTCCCTCTTGGGGGAGGGGAGCGTTGCGTGACGAGACAAAAACGCCCGCTTGGGAGACTTCTAGCTCTGCTGTAGGAGAGGTGTATATTCCCAGCCTACACTAGGAAAACAAACAATTCCTCAGCTTGAGTATCAGGCGTATCTGTGGGGAAGGGGAGGGAGGAGAAGAGAGAAGCGAAAAGAGGAGATACCAAACTTTTCTCTCCCCTAACCCCTACTAAACGGGCTGATACTCAGATACTTCCTAGAATGACCTCACGTTTATGGTAAGTGATCCCTTAAATGATATCATATTCTCAAAAAATCAAACTAGGGAAATAATCCACTATGGCTGTGATTCTTCTCAGTTTTTTCGCAACGTCATTGTCCCTTGTATCAGTGGCTGCAAATGAACAGAACTGCAGAAAACTTAACTGTAAAGTATTGCCAGTTGGAGAAAATCTTGAATCAGAATTTAGACTGAAGGCTTCTGAGAAAGGTGTGAGAATAGTCTACTTGAATTTGAAAATCGGTAACAACAGCTACAATCCGCTGGAGTTACAAGACGAGTTTCTACCCGACAGATGGGTGTGGGCTCGGTCAAATAATGAGCCCATGCTGTCTTTGCCCTTCGACTTCGATATTTTATCCCTGGGACTTTTGAATTATCAAACTGGGAGCATTACAGTGCCACTGAGAGATGAACCGAGTGGATGTCTTGCGGGATTAAACTCAACATGTCAGAACACGGCCGTCGGGAGAGCACTGCTGGACAATGTAACAAGTAAAAGCGGCAACACTGGCAGGGGTGGTCTGTATTGCAATGATAGACATTGATTCGATAAACTATCATTGCTGCAGTTCTAATGTCTCAAGTATTAACTGTGATCTTTCTATAGTGGGCAGCAGATTGTTGCAAGCGATGAAAATCTTTTTGCTTTGTTGATCTTTGTTTGTCTATCGTTCTGGGTTTGTATTGCCCGGCACTTCTTCTGCTATTGCCTGACTGTATTTTTAATCTTCAGAATGAATATGACAAGGAAGATAGAACTGAAAACCCAATTCCTAACGGCGCACAGACCGGATCAGATGGTTTTGGCATGAGACATGGCTATCAAAGAATTCAAAACGAAGAAGAGAACAGACTGTCACGCAACACCGATGAAATTCCTGTGGATGACGCGAGTCCGGTTACCTGTTCGATGTTTGTGCTGGGATGTGTGCAACTTCTGCCTGATTTAAAGTCATCGTTTAACGTTAAGTTGGCTGTTTTAATGTTTTGCATTTTCCCATTTTCCTTTTATTTTCCGTCTGGCATTATTCTTTGTCTTTAAGCCAAAATATATCCATGAACGCCTAAAGCAGCCCATTTCCTTAAGTCCAGAATTTTCAGGGCTCTTTCTTGGTAAGATGTCACCGAGCACAATCTTGGTCTTTATATTTACCGTTCCAATACTACCATGTTGGACAACAGTTTTGCTTCTAAAACCGAAGGATTTGTTTCTGACTGATTGTCGCCTATGTAATAGAGTAAACTCACATTCTGTTAGTATTGGAAATGAGGCCCTTCATCATTTAAAATTGTTGCCGGAAGAGGGGTACATTCTTTTGTTAGGTTTTCGTTACCTGCACAACAGAGGCCTAAAAAAACTTGCCTGTTACTCAAAGAAAAATTATAGGGGATCGCGAATGAGGCGCGCTCTGTTCAGTTTGTGGCTTATATTTCCAATTTTATTCACGCTATTCCTTGGCCTTGTTTGGGGAGTAATCTGTTTGTTTTTTCTTTTAGTTTCAGTAATTATTTTGGCTTTTAAGTTATCACCAGTTACGATTCTGTTGGTAAGCATGGGCCAGAAAATTTATAGTAGGATAGAGAGAGTAAGCGATAGTATTAGCTGGATTTTGTTGATAGTTTTATTGTTTTTTTTCGTTCTGTTTACACTATATCTGGTTGTTATACTGTGTATTTTGATTGGTGGAGTATTTATATTATCTACCTTTTTTGTCGGAATATTAGGATTCACAACAATGGGATTAGTTCTAAACGTTGAAATTGTAACTCCTTATGCATCCTTTTTGGTCGTTGTCATAACAAACGTCTATTTTTGTTATGCTAATTTGCAGAGAAATTACATGGAAGTTAAAGAATTTATCTTAAAATACAGGCAGCAAGAATTAGATTCGATCAGTGGTACTGATCAGAGCACAATTCCAACAAATCTGTTTTGGTTCGTGAGTGATGAAGTGCTTCCAGTTACAACTGAAATCTGCCTGATGCTTCGCGACATTGCTGTTATTGTCATATTTCTGTTTTTAACGATATCTTCTATCATTTTCTTCAGAAATGAGTACGAAATTTCGACGCTTGTGTCTACCATTGCCGTGTTTATAAGTGGCGCAATTCCCAGTCTGTTTCTTAAAGGACTGACTAGAGGGAAGAATTTTAGTGGCTGGAGAAGGGTCCTACTAGAAAGGAAAATTAAAGCGGCAGTCAGAAAATACGCGCGAGAAGGTAGCCGAGTAGGTATAAACAGAGAAACCGTAGAGAGAAGTTCGTTCCAAAATGACGGTTATTTAGTTGTATAAAATAATGCATCACAAGCAGGCAGCCCAAGGTCGTGTTACTAGAGGCCTCTAGTAACACGACCTTGGGCGAGGAAAGCCAGTCCGGTTGCGTTAAAATTGAAGGCAAGGCAAATCGGACAGCTAAGGGTTACAAATTTCAGCTGAAATTTACTTGGCCGGTTGCGTTAGCCGGATCCTACAATTTCTGAAAATGAACTGAGAGGCGTCGTCTTCACAAAATGACCTCTGAAATAGTATGTTAAATCCTGTACTTGTTCGCTTTGAGACTTTTAATAATGCCGCTATCGTCACCGGCAGTGATGGCCCGTGCAGACATGGCTTACGAGAAGTCCATCGTAAGAAGGAACACAACCTTATAAATTTTAAAAGTTGAGAGCATGGGTATCCTGTGGTGCCAGGATACATTTTACGATTAGCGTAGTTTGTTAGAAAAACTGCGAAAGTCAGAGCATAGTTTTGAAACCTTTTTATACTTCTTTTTATGATTAAATATCATACATTTATTCACATATTTAGTTAAAATGTGAATTTGAACGTTTTACAATCATCGCAATCTGTAATTAATGACCAATAATCTTATCATCTTGGTTTTTGCGGATATCGTAAAAAATATGTTGTAGTAATTGTTAAAATTAACCTTAAATCATAATAATACGTGTCTCAGGCCATTTTATAGAGATGGAACTGCCGGGTAATGCGTTCCTTGTAAAACCTACAAATAAATAACCTTTTCTCCCTTACTTTAGTACTGTGAATTTCGAAATTGAACGTTTTGTAAAATAATTACAGCTGTAGTCAATAACAAATAAACCCAACTAGTAACCTAACAGTGACTCTTTCTTTCATGGCATTTAAACAAGGATGAACCATCATTATATTGCACAGATCTCATGCTTAGATTCCCTGTATTTAAGGTGTTCTTTTAATACAGTGAAAGCAAGAGACGATCTTACAAAATCCGAGTCTATTTTAAGTTCAATAGGCATTCTCCTGTCGCTTTATTTCTCGTCCAGTTGGACAAAGGCATACTTTTTATGGCTTAGATATCAGCCTATCTCTACACAATAACGATCAAGGCTTTTCGGAATATTAATTCCTCTGAGTTCTGGTCTAAAGCGGAGCATGAAGACTGAACTATTGGTCTGAGGAGGTGACCCTGGGTTGGTCACTGGCAAGAATCGATAATAAAGACTTTAAGATAGGACGACTACGGACTACTCGCTATGGAAGGACGCGCCAGACCATTAAACATTAATATTCAACTGCGTTCACGCATATTAAGCCGGAATCTATCAGGAAATTGAGTAGTTTTAATTTTCAGTGGACAAAAACCTTGTACCAGAATAATTTAAACAAAATCGCATTCATTTTTACATTTTTCAAGGGCTACAGATGTAGTTCGTTATCTGTAACAACATCACAGGAAATGTTTTTTGAGATGCCGAGGAAATAATTAAATGTCAAATTTTACAAAATGACATCTTACACATGAAATTTTCAGAATTTTACCTGTGTTTTCACAATTCTTGTGAAATTGGACATTTATTTGCTCGGGCTCCCATGAGAAATAGTCTTTAGTGTTATTATAGATAATACATTTCAGTAAAACCCAACTAGTGGTCTATTATCAATCCTGCGTTCTGATTGGTTGAGCTACTACTAGGCTATATGTTGTAGCCCACTAGTAGCGAAAAGCGCCCGCTTTGAGAACCAAAACAATGGTGGCTGAATCGCGTTTTGCTACCTAAAGTTGTTTTGTCTCGATATTTTTGACCAACTAGTTGGATTTTACTAAAACAATTATTCTTCTCGCACTCATGGCCTCTGAGTCAATAGCCCATTCGGCCTTCGGCCTCATGCTATTTGACTCAGAGCCCATTCGGGCTCGAGGAATAATTTTTAAATAGGTTTACTAATGAGCTGCTCTCATACAATGGGAACAATAAGCTTGCCCGCTCTATGCCCACCTGATTGGTTGATGTAGAATCTATTACGTGTTTAAAATAAAAGAGCGCAAATTTTAAACGTGCTGTCTTTCTTATAAGTTCAGTTTGCTAGGAATATCTGCTTTACTATTACCAGTATTCTTTAAAACATTGCTCCAAACATGTAAGTTGAATCAAGCGCTACACCTCTGTTGACGATTGATAAAGTAGAAAAAGTCCAGCGACAAAGAATAGGCAGTTTCATCGGTCATGTGTTCCAACTTACTTATGCGGCTATATATGGTTGACAAACTCATTCAACGAGAAAAGCTGAATCGCTGACTTTGTTAGGAAACAATTTATTCGAGTTCGCTTGCCAACTAAAAAATCGGTTATAAACAAAACTCAATCTTGATTGGCTATTACAAAACCGTGTTCTCTGTGACTCACGCTCCGTTAACCAGTAGCAATTTGCATCTGACCTAGTCACTCCCTCATTCTCCAACATGAACCTTCCCTCTCCAACATGAACCTCCCCCTCCAACATAAACCATCCCCCGACCAAAAAACGTAAATCGATGCAGTCCCCAGATTGTAATGTGGGTGTGGCTCAGGACATTATACAAAATCTTACATGACGTATTGGTCGTCATATTTCGCGAAACGATTGTTTCTGTGATACAATATTTACAAAAATGTCTTTAATATTTGTCAAAATTTTTTAATCTGTCTTGGCCTGGAGACACTGAAACCAGTCTTGTAAATCATCATTCTGAGCTGTGAAATGTAAAATGTCCTTAAGAATTTATTTCCTTTTTTGGTATATAAAACCATCCAGCTGTGTAAAATTCTACAAGAGTTCAGTGGTAAAACCAGCAGGCATTTGACGAAATCTTTCAGCAGCTCCTGACTGTTGTGTATTGATGAGGACCAATATGGGCGATGTCTCAAATGCTTAATTGTGCTAAAGGGAGAAAAAGAGAAGAAGTCAGCGGCAACAACAAACTAATAGCTTATATTAATTATATGCCAGTGACAAACTCTTTCTCAAGCCTTGACTTGCTTTTACCTTAAAAATAAAAGCTGCGATAAAGGCCTTAAAACAAGCCCGGTTCGTTGCCATGACAGCCAATTTCAATAGGACAATTGCAGCAAACAGCAAAGAACAAACTCAAAATCCTGAACTGTGGCCACATTGGTAGGAGGCAAGTGCTTTCAGCACTATGCCATTCCTTGCTCCCCTACATTTCATTCATGATGAGAGGGAAAATGAACTACCAAATGATTCCCATCCGCATTTAGGCGATCTTACACGAGGCAAACTGCAACGAAAATTCTTAGGCAACAATGTTGGAACGAAGTTTTGACAATTCGAAACAATGTGGCAGCGCTGTGATGCACTGAAAATCGTTGCCACGATTTGTCACAAGACGGCGAAGAGGAAGAAACAAACAACGCTGCACGTGCCATTGCACTTTCTGGTACATTTCTAAGTCGTCCTCGGTGCAACTACGACGTGAAATTTTCTACAGAGTGACTTTTAATCGAGGGCGTGAACGATGATTGCACTCACTGCTAAGAGCAATTTCAAGTAATCGCGAATTCGTTTATTATTCATGTTCTCGTTGCAATCGTTGTCGTTTTTGATAAAAGTCCCTAATTCACAATTTTCACATAAACTACAGTGTAGCTTGCTTACATCCAAAATTCTGCATTTCCATTGTGTTCGATTTCTCTTGGGATGACTGTAGTACCCAAGAGAAACTGCAAACAATGCTCATGCCAAATATTTTTTTTTTCGGGGGTGGGGTAGGGTGGGGGGAACAACGTGCATTATGGTCTATGTGAAAATGACGAATAGCTGAATGGGGCAGGATATCTTAAATTGTTTTGGTATTCTATAAACAGGGTGTCACTTCGTAACCGCTTCTCTGAACAAATACCTTATTCGCAGCATCTTCTCCTGGTCAGGAAACGGATCATAAAATCCACGGAAATTACTCTGAAAGAGACAAAACAAAACATCAAAAAACAGGTGTTGCAAAGATTTTCAATTCAATTCAATTATGTTAGCCAATCACAACAAACAAAGACAATCCGATAGACCAATCAGAGGTTAAATAAAAAAGAACAATAAAAAAACATGTGGGTTGTGGTTAGCCAGATCTAAGGGGTGTTTCTGATTGGTCGTGCTGCGCGGGAATTTGCTTCAACCAATCAAAAACATTACCCAGATCTGAGAAGTAACGAGTCATCAGTATTGAATTTCTGCGCTCGTTTCTCAGACGTCATTTCGTGGGGAAACCAGTGGTGACGTCGCCAAATGTCGGCTCTTTTCTCAGGCTAGTTTTATTGAACAAGCCAAAATTAGCCCACGTGATAAAAACTCGACCCCGGTCAGACAGATATAACGGGCTTTAAGGTGGATCGACTGGATTTTCTTGGGGGGGATACTTCCCAAGTTTGAGCATTAACTACGTCGCCAGCAGTAAAGATATGGGAAAAAGGTTACCACAACTGTATTATATAAAGATGAAAATTTCTTACGACTGGGTTTTATTGCAATTGGAGTCACCATGGCAACGTAACGACGCCATTACGTTTTTTATTTATCTTTGTGTTTCTCTGTACCAGGAGATTTTTTTAAGAAATCGCTTAAGGGAGTTTGTACCTGCCATAAATGCCTCAATGATGGTAATGAGAGCGTTTTCGAAATATTTTGAAACGAAGTTTTAAGCATCATGAAAACAGTGAAATAGCATGCTATCCACACAATTAGCTAATTTTTTAAAGGAAATGATAAGCTTTGGAAACGAGGCTTCATCTCATAGTGGTTTGATTCCATTAAAAACTACGTACAAGAAAAGAGGAGAATTGCTCTGGGCGATCGCGAGTAAGAAACATTTTATTAACCTGCATTCAGCTGCTTTTGTTACAGTTTTTGAACGTAATTTGGTCCATGTCTACAATTTTCCCATTTTTCAAAAAACCGATCGATAATTTTTTTATAACTTTGACAATCCCAAGATCAATTGCCAATAAATATACCATGCAAGTCTCAAGAACATTGAAAACAGGAAAGGCTCTTAAATAGGGCCTCAAATATGACCAATTTTCCCCCAAGATTTTGTGTTTACAAGTGAGCGTCCTCATTATTCACTGGCATTGTTTTTAAGTTTCATATGCACGTGCCCATATAGCAAAAAGAAATAAATTTGCGTCAAAAAGAACTCTCGATTACTTTCGGAAGAAATATGCGGAATATGCTAATAACTGGCTTGTGTCACAGATAGTAGCGAGAGCCGAGAAGGTGAACGTCACGGCTCATCGTGTAGGATGCAATACTTAATTATCTTACTCGGGTTATAACATCACAGAAACTCTTACAAAGAGTTGCTGTGATGTTGTAATATATTACTAATTTCTTTACCCGGTTATTAGCATATTCCGGAGATTTAACCGAGGGTCCTTGAGCAACTGAAAGGATCATCACATCTTTCTTTGCACTTTTTCTATGCATCGTATTAAGGTTTTAAAAGTGATCGTTGATTTGCCCGGAATAATGAGGCCTAGGGATTAGGCAAATCGCTAATAAAATCTTCCAATCGGCGGATGGTTTCGCATGAAGGTTCTACGCTGTATATCACACAGAAAACACACAAGAAACTAATGGGAAAAAAACTGGGGGCAGGGAAGCGCCTAAATGTAAGGGTAAGGGGACCAGGAGCGAAACCCTCCTGGGGTGAGACAAGATCGAGTTCACATGGGGTAGCCACCGTGGACAACAGATCAGTCTCAGGGGGTGCGGCCAGTATCACTAGGAAATAAGGGAAACCATAAAGAAGCCCTCCTGGGTGGAGTACAGATCAGGTGGAACCGGGGATCACCCTGGAGTGGATATTTAACACAGGGTACCCTCCAGCGTGAGTGACTGATATCTTGGAGACTGGGTGGATCTAAGAGAAATACATAATGTACGGACTCGTGAAACAACAAGAGAACAATACATACTTTATACTGCCTTTAATTTCCGTGTCCTTCTCTATTTTTCTTGTCTAGGAACCCAATACAAATTAATTTAGAATTCCAAGCTATACCTGAAAAAGAAAAACACAAAAACAAATACAAAATTAGTTCGATTACATTGCAAACCAATAAAACCAAGCACAATGAAGGCGCTTTAGGTTTTGTTCATTTAAATCTTGCAATTACACAATAATAACTCATATGTCCCGAGCTAAAAAATCTAAATTCAAAGGGTTGGAAGTCCCCTATTCTAAACAAATGGAGTTAAATCATTCTGAGTCGAAATGTTTGGAGTAATGACATCGGAAATCAAATTTTCTAAGTGACGACATTCGGAATTCAAATGTTTGAAAAGATAACATTCCGAATCTAAATGTTTAAAGTGATGTCATTCGGAATTCAAATGTTTGGAGAAATGACATTCGGTATTCAAATGTTTGGAAGAATGATGTTTAGAATTCAAATGTTTGGAGTGATCATATTCGGATTTCAAGTGTTTGGAGTGATGACATTCGGTTCTCCAATGTTAGGAGTGATGACATTCGAAATTTAAATGTTTGCAGTGATAACATTTGGAATTCAAATATTTATAGAGGTGACATTCGGTATTTCAATGTTCGGAGAGAGAACATTCGGTATTCAAATGTTCGGCGAGATGACATTCGATATTCAAACGTTTGGAAGAATAACAGTCAGAATTTAAATGTTTTGAGTGATCATATTCGGAATTCAAATGCTTGGAGTGTTCACATTCGGTATTCCAATGTTAGAAGTGATGACACTCGGAATTCAAATGTTTGTAGTAATTACATTCGGAATTCCAATGTTTGGAATGATGACATTCGTTATTCCAATGTTAGGAGTAATGACATTCGGAATTCCAATGTTTGGAATGATGACATTTGATATTCCAATGTTTGCAGTGATGACATTCGGTATTCAAATGTTCGGAGTGATGGCAGTCGGTATTCAAATGTTCGGAGTGATTACATTCGGTATTCAAATGTTCGGAGTGACGGTATTCAGTATTCAAATGTTCGGAGTGATTACATTCGGTATTCAAATGTTCGGAGTGATGGCATTCGGTATTCAAATGTTCGGAGTGATGGCATTCAGTATTCAAATGTTCGGAGTGATTACATTCGGTATTCAAATGTTCGGAGTGATGGCAGTCGGTATTCAAATGGTAGGAGTGATGACATTCGGTATTCAAATGTTCGGAGTGATGGCATTCAGTATTCAAATGTTCGGAGTGATTACATTCGGTATTCAAATGTTCGGAGTGATGGCATTCGGTATTCAAATGGTCGGAGTGATGGCAGTCGGTATTCAAATGTTAAGAGTGACGACAGTCAGAATCAAATGTTCGGAGTGATGGCATTCGGTATTCAAATGTTCAGAGTGATTAAATGCGGTATTCCAATGTTAGGAGTGATAACATTCGGAATTCCAATGTTTGGAATGATGACATTCGATATTCCAATGTTTGCAGTGATGACATTCGGTATTCAAATGTTCGGAGTGATGACATTCGGTATTCAAATGTTCGGAGTGATGACATTCGGTATTCAAATGTTCGGAGTGATGGCATTCGGTATTCAAATGTTAGGAGTGATGACATTCGGTATTCAAATGGTCGGAGTGATGGCAGTCGGTATTCAAATGTTCGGAGTGATGGCATTCGGTGTTCAAATGTTAGGAGTGATTACATTCGGTATTCAAATGTTCGGAGTGACGCCATTCAGTATTCAAATGTTCGGAGTGATTACATTCGGTATTCAAATGTTCGGAGTGATGGCATTCGGTATTCAAATGTTAGGAGTGATGACATTCGGTATTCAAATGGTCGGAGTGATGGCAGTCGGTATTCAAATGTTAAGAGTGATGACAGTCAGAATCAAATGTTCGGAGTGATGGCATTCGGTATTCCAATGTTAGGAGTGATAACATTCGGTATTCAAATGTTCGGAGTGATGACATTCGGTATTCAAATGTTCGGAGTGATGACATTCGGTATTTAAATGGTCGGAGTGATGGCATTCGGTATTCAAATGTTAAGAGTGATGACAATCAGAGTGATGGCATTCGGTATTCAAATGTTCGGAGTGATTACATACGGTTTTCCAATGTTAGGAGTGATGACATTCGGAATTAAAATGCTTGGAGTATTTGGCACTCGGAATTGGAAAAATGAGGTTCGGAATGTAAACGTTTGGAGTGGTGATATTCGGAATTCATATGTTTGAAGTGACGACATTCGGTATTCTGTTCACTGTTAGGAGTGTGATGACATTCAGAATTTAAATGTTTGGAATGATGACAGTCAGGATCAATTGTTCAAGTGAAGACACTCTGAATTCAATTGTTTGGCGTAATGACTTTCGGAATTCAAATGTTTGCAGTGATGACATTCGGTATTAAAATGTTCTGAGTGATGACATTCGGTATTCAAATCCCAGGAGTGATGACAGTCAGAATCAAATGTTCGGAGTGACGACATTCGGAATGCAGATGTTTGAAGTGATGACATTCGCTATTAAAATGTTAGGAGTGATAACATCGGTATTCAAATGTTTGGAGTGAAGACATTCGGTATTCAAATGTTTGGAGTGAAGACATTGGTAGCAATATTGTTATAGTAACGCTAAGTGAGACTCCGGTGCCGTCATACAACAGCATGGTAGATCATGGCTAAACGTTTTTTTTGGAGTGGCAGGAGATAGAGAGTGAAGAGAATCTAGAGATGGTTTTGCAATAGGGAACTCCATTACTCAACAGCTAGAACAAGACCCGACAGTGACAGGATAATCACCATGAGACTTCCGCTGCAGAGAAATGTGTACGCCACCATAGCTGGGTGTCTATACTCCAAAAATGACCAGCCTCAAAGAGATTAAGGAGGATTTTCTGCGGAGGAGTTCTGCGGAGAGTTCCTTGTACTGATAAACTGATAACAGGCGGTGACTTCAATGTCAGGGTTGGAATGGTGGACAAATGGCCAGGTGTGATTGGCCTGCGTAGAGTTAGCAAGTGCAACTGAAACAGTGAACTTCTTCTAGGTCTTTGCTCCGAACACAATTTGGTGATCACAAACACTACCTTCAAGAGCAAGCATTATCACAAGACCATATAGATGCAACCCTACTCTAAACACTGGCACCTTTTATGTGACAGTGAGGCAGGTAGACCAAAATGACATCTTGGCAAGATCCATGAGAGACGCTGAGTGTTTAACTGACCATGTTTTGTTAAGATCCAATCTTGCCTTCTCCATCAACAAAAAACATCCAAAACTGCCGCCAAACCACCCTGCAAGATTGATTTAATGAAACTAAGACATAAAGATATGCAACAGAAGTTGAAGAAAGAAATGGACAAGGCTTTGGAAGGATTATACCATCAAGAGTCAGAAGTTGTTGAAGAAAACTGGAATTTTTTAAAAGCAACTACACTTGACACTGCTGTCAGTGTCTTAGGTAAATCCAATCGGAAACACCAGGATTGATTCGACGATACTAACAAAAAGGCGAAGGTTCTGTTAGAGGAAAGAAACTGGGGATGACGCTGCTAGTACTGCAATGACGACCTTGGGACACTAGGCCACATTGCTGGAACATACGGACCATGGCGGAGGCAAAAGGGGAAGGAAATGGAAAAGAACAGTCAGTGTTTATAATGTTTGTAAAAATAAGGCCAGAATTCCAGTGTTTGAAAGCAGAAGATCAGTATGCCAATGTGTATAAAAATAGGGCCGGAATTGCAACGTTTGAAAGGATATGATCAGTATACTTATGTGTATAAAATAGGGCCAGAATTCCATTGTGCAAAAGGATAAGATCAGAATTCCAATGTTTGGAAAGATAACATCAGAGTGTCTATGTTTATAAAAAAAGGGCCAGAATTCCAGTAATTTGAAGAATAAGATCAGAATTAAAGGATAAGGCCAGAATTCGAATCCTTATAAAAATAGGGCCAGAAATCCAATGCATGAAAAGAAAAGATCAGAATTCCAGTGTCTATAAAAATAGGGCTAGAATTCCATTGTTTTCAAGGATAAGATCAGAATTGCAATGTGTATAAAAATAGGGCCAGAATGTCAATGTATAAAAAGATAAAATCAGAATTCCAATGTTTATAAAAACAGGGCAGAATTCAAATGCATGAAAAGACAAGATCAGAATTCCAATGTCTACAAAAATAGGGCTAGAATTCCAGTGTCTTGAAGGATATGATCAAAATTGCAATGTGTATAAAAATAGGGCCAGAATACCAATGTTTAAACAGATAAAATCAGAATTCCAAAGTTTATAAAAACAGGGCAGAATTCAAATGCATGAAAAGACAAGATCAGAATTCCAATGTCTATAAAAATAGGGCTAGAATTCCCGTGTTTTGAAGGATAAAATCAGAATTGCAATGTGTATAAAAATAGGGCCAGAATACTAATGTATGAAAAGATAACATCAGAATTCAAATGTTTATAAAAATAAGGCCAATGTTTGGAAGGATAAGATCAGAACGCCAATGTTTATTACAATAGGGCAAGCATTCCAAAGGTTGGAAGGATAAGATGAGAATGCCAATGTTTTCAAGGATAAAATCAGAGTTTCAATGTTTATAAAAATAGGCCCAGAATTCCAATATGATCAGAAAGCCAATATTTATAAAAACAGGAACAGAAAGCTGGTGGTTGGAATGTTAGCAAAGAAAAGGTCAGAATACGAATGTTTATAAAATAGGACAGAATTCCAATGTTCATAAGAATACGGCCAGAATTCAATTGTTTATAAAAAAGGCCTAGAATTCCAATGTATGGAAAGATAAAATCCGAATTCTAACAATTATAAAAACAGGACCAAAAGACCAATATTTTGAAGGATAAGATCAGAATTCCAATGTTTATAAAAAAGGGCTAGAATTCCTATGTTTGGAAGGATAAGATCAGAAAACCAATGTGTAGAAGTATTCCAGTTTTTAAAAGAATAAGATCAGAATTCCAATGTTTATCAAAAAAAGGGTAGAATTCCAATATTAACAAATGTTTGCAGTGGAAGGATACGATAAGAATTCTAATGTTTATAACGATCGGGCCACAGTTCCAATGTTTGTAATAACAGGGCCTGAATTCCAGTGATTGGAAGGATAAAGTCAGAATTCCAATGTTTATAAAAATAGCGCCAGAATTCCAGTGTTTTGAAGGATAAGATCAGAATTCCAATGTTTATAGAAATAGGGCCAGAATACCAATGTTCAGAGCGATAAGTTAAGGCAGGGCCAGAAGTCCAGCGTTTGGAAGGATAAGATGAGAATTCAGTATTCCAATGTTTTGAACGCTAAGATTAGAAAACCAATATGTATAAAAATAGAGCCAGAAGAATGCCAAGGCTTATGAAAATATGGCCAAAATTCCAATGTTTCTGCTCCGTATTAAACCTAGAGTTATGTCGGCTGGAGTCTTGTACTCCTGGTAGAGCCATCCTCGCCGAAAAGGTCGAAGGGTAGAGACCAGACAAAGAGTGATCCCCTGGTCCTCCAGGTTGGGGGTTGGGCGTAACTGTTACAGAAACCAGAAGCATTGATAATGACACAACACTGACTAGGGGTGTTGCTACTGGGGCTGCAATGACGCTCTTAGGTCAAGGCCAGCCGGAAGCCCTATGGCCAACAGGCCCCACAGTAGCCCCCAAGTAACAGACGATCATAAGTTGCTGGAACGTGAGGACCATAGCGGAGACAACACGGGTAGGGCAAGTAGCTAAGAAATGAAAGAAAATGGGATTGAAGGGCTAGGGATAAGTCAAAAGAGACCAGGTGGAAATGGACGGGATCAGTAACACTGCAGAGTGGAGAGAAGGTGGTGTACGTAGGAAATGATAAGATGAAACAGGGAAGAGTAGCCATCAAGATGAGTGCGAGGGCAAAGGGAGCCTTGATGGAATGGATGCCAATTAGCAAAAAGATTATTACAGCACGATACTACTCAAAGTACAAAACACTGACGGTGGTACAAGCATATGCACCAACAAATGATGCGATGGATGAGGAAAAGGATGAATTCTACAACCAGCTGCAGGACACTGTTTCAGACTGCAACAGAAATAATATAATGGTGGTGATGGGAGATTTGATTGCTAAAGTAGGCAACAACAATACCAATAGAGAGGAGGTTATGGGGAAGTTTGGCGTTTGTGTTATGAATGGCAGTGGACAAAGGCTATGTGACCTTTATAGTGCAAATGGCTAATAATAAATCATAATCATAATCACTTTCCCTCATAAAGACATCCATAAGCTGACCTGGAGGCCACCAGATGCGAGGACAGTAAACCAGATTGACCATGTACTAGTGAATGGAAACATGAGAACATCTATATTAGACACCAGGGTAATGAGAGGAGCAGACGTATACAGTGACCATTATCTGTGAAAACCAGGATACGTCTAAAGCTAGCAAGAGCTGAGGGGAAGAAGAACGTATGGGAAAGGTTTGATGTAAGTAAACTGCAAAGCGAAGAGATCAGTTGGAAGTCCAACATTGAGGAAGGGTTTAGGAGGTGAGGAATAGGTTTAAAGCTTTAGAAGACATAGATGATCCGGAGAAAGAATATGATATGATTTTGGCAACATAAGAGATAGATGGTAGAGAAGAGGGCTGCAGTGACAGAAAAGACCCCTGAGAACGGTAGAAGCAAGGAGCTATACAGCATTACTGAGTAGGTAACTGGAGAAAGGCGGAAACAGCAATAGGTGTTCAGGACAAACAAGGGATGCTTAGGACTGACACAAAAGAAAGACTGCAGAGATGGGCGGAGCACTTTAGTGAAATATTAAACAGAGATGACCCTACGAATCCCGTGGAAGAGGATGGGATGGTAGAATCGGAAGACATTAAGGAAAAAGATCTAGGAAGAAGGCGATCACAAGAGGTCAAGCATGCATTGAAGAGGACAAAGCCAGGGAAAGTGGCTGGAGTAGATAACGTGTGTCCGTAATTATCGAGAGCTGACATCAAGACACTGCAAGTAGGCTGACTAGTTGTTACAACAGGCTTTGAGAAACTGATAGGTGGCTGAAAGTGTGGAGGAAGGAACTTGTTAAGTTATTTAAGAAAGGTAGTTTGCGTGAATGCAACAACTGCAGAGGAGTGACTTTACTACCTGTCATTGGTAAGATATCCTGTAGGATGTGGTTGGAGCGATCAAGAAAGGCGTAGACAAGAAACTTTGAAAGGAGAAGGATGGTTTTTGACCCAAGAGCAATAAAACTGAACAGATCTTTATACTTAGTAACATCTTAGGGCAGGCAAATGAGTCGAGGAACGGTCTGTATGCGCACTTTGTTGTGGACTTTGAAAAAGCCTTCGAGTCTGTACACAGTGAAAGCCTATGGAATATCATGAGAAGTTATGGGATACCAGACAAGATGGAAAGAGTGAAAGCAGGCATATATGTGGGCTTTGAGTGCACAGTTGTCGACGGGAGTTGACATCTGACTGGTTTATATTCGAGTCTGCTGAAAAACAGGGGTGCATGATGTCGGGATTCTAAGCCTTACTGTGCTTAGATTAGGTCATGAGGAAGGCAACAGCAGACAAGAGAAGAGGGGTAACGTGGAATTTCACAACAGTAAGGGAGGACCATGATTTCGCAGATGACATTGTTCTACTGTCATCTACGTTCAATGACGTGCATTAAAAGACTGGGAGATTGGCGGAGGAACCAGCCATAGTAGGACCCAAACTTTAAGCAAGAAAGTGCAAGACACTAAGGACTGAGTGTGCTAGAAGAACGGAGAATATCGTGGTGGATGGCAAAGAAGGGGATGACGCTTACATACCCAGGAACTATTGCAGACAAGGAGGGTGGAGGTAGCATAGATATTATGCACCATCTGCAGAAAGCACGTGGCGCATTCAGAGACTAAGAGGGATCTGGGCAGCTAGAGGAATAGGAGGGAGAACCAAAATACGCCTATTCAAGACGAAACTTCGAACTGTCCTACTATATGGCTGTGAAGCTAAATACCTTCCATTGCTTGTGCCTGAGACGGATACTGCAGATTAGATGGCAGCAGAAAATGACAAACAAGAGCGTGATTGAGTTGGCTGAGATCAATGACATAAGCTGTGAGCTGTCGCGAACAGCATGGAACTGGCTAGGTCACATACTAAGGAGAGAGGGTGAGGATGACTCCTTTACAGCATTAGGATGGGCTCCTAAAGGTCGGGGGATGAGAGGAAGACCGAAAACTACTTGGAGAAGGACAGTCGGGAAAGAGCGAAACAAAGCTGGATGGAAGAGCTCTTGGACGCTCAATGACGCTCTTGGGTCCACATCAGCCGAAAGCCAAAAGGTCGATAGGCCCCATAGTAGCCCCCAAGCGACAGACAATCATCAGTTGCTGGAACGTGAGGACAACGGGCAGAGACAACATGAGCAGGTCAAGTAGCCAAGGAGATGAAAGAGTATGGGATTGAAGTGCTAGGGATAAGTGAGACCAGGTGGAACGGGACCGGATCAGTAACACTGCAGAGTGGAGAGAAGGTGGTGTACGTAGAAAATGAGGAACAACAGGGAGAAGTAACCATCACGATGATTGCGAGGGCAAAGGGAGCCTTGATGGAATGGATGCCAATTAGCAAAAGGATTATTACAGTGCGATTCTACTTAGAGTACAAAACACTGACGGTGGTAAAAGCCTAATGCTCCAACAAGTGATGCGATGGATAAGGAAAGAATGAATTCTACAACCAGCTGCAGGCCACTGTTTAAGACTGCAACAGAAATGAGATGATTGTGGTGATGGGAGATTTGAATGCTAAGGTAGGCAACAACAATACCAAGAAAGAGAAGGTTATGGGGAAGTTTGGCGTTGGTGTTATGACTGACAATGGAGAGAGGTTATGCGACTTCTGTAGTGCAAATGGCTCATCGTAACTGGAACGAATTTCCCTCCTAAAGACATCCATACGCTGACCTGGAGGTCACCAGATGGGAGGACAGGAAACCAGATTGACCATGTTTTAGTGAATGGACACATGGGAACATCTATATTAGACACCAGAGTAATAAGAGGAACAGACGTATACAGTGACCATTACCTTGTGAAAACAAGGATACGCAGAATGTAAGGGAAAGGTTTGACGTAAGTAAATTGCAAAATGAAGAGATCAGGAGGAAGTACAACAGTGAGGTGAAGAATAGGTGTGAAGCTTTGGAAGACGTAGATGATCCAGAGGAAGAACACGATATGATATTGGAAACATACAGAGATGGATCAAAGAAAGTCTTGGGGAAGTCAAAAACATTAGTACGCCATGGAGGGGAAGCAAAACATGGGAAAAGATCAAAGAGAGGAAAGACGCAAAATTGAAATTGGGGGGTACTATATCGGGATGACTAAAAGAGAAAAGAAGCAAGGAGTAAAATGTGAAGAAAACAAAGTGTTACGGAGGATAAGAGAGATTGGCTAGAGAAGAGGGCTGCAGCAGGGGAAAATGCCATAGAATGGTAGATACAAGGAGCTATACAGTTTTACTAAGTAGATAACTGGAGAAAGGCGGAAACAAGCAATAGGTGTTGAGGATAAAAGAGGGGTGCTTAGGACTGAAACAAAAGGAAAGACTGCAGAGATTGGTGGAGTAGTTTAGTGAAATATTAAACAGAGACGACCCCACGAATCCTGTAAAAGGGAATGAGATAGTAGAAATAGAAGACACTAAGGATATAGATCTAGGACGATAGCAATTAAAAGAGGTCAAGACTAGTTGTTACAACAGGCTAAAAGAAACTGAGGTGGTGGAAAGTGTGGAAGAAAGAACTTGCTGTTAACGTATTCAAGAAACGTAGTTTGCACAAATGCAACAACTGCAGAGGAGTGACTTTACTACCTGTCAGTAGTAAGATATTCTGTAGGATGCGGTTGGAGTGTATCAAGAAAGATTTAGACAAGAAACTTCGAAAGGAGCAGACTGGGTTTAGACCCAAGAAAAGTACAACTGAACACATCTTTATACCTGACACATCTTCGAGCAGGCAAATGAGTGGAGGGAAGGTCTGTATGCGCACTTTGTTCTAGACTTTGAAAAAGCCTTTGAATCTGTGCACAGAGAATAATAATAATAATAATAATTTAAACATATTTATGCAGGATTGCTGCTTCAGTTTTAAGAAAAAAACTGCTATCAATGCAGGTCCTGTAAAAAATTAAAAATGAAAAAATAAAAATAAAAAGATTTAAAATATAGATAAAAATCAAATCACAATATTACAAAAATAGTCACACCAAACGAAAGATCGAACAGTTATAAATTCTAAGAATTATTAAAAATTATTAAAAATTTTCGCACCTCCAAAATTCCAAAATAAGGTCATTATTATTTCTAGTTTTGTGGCGGTGAATGTCACGGTTTCTTACATTGAAATAATTAGAAAGCCTATGGAATATCATGAGAGGTTATGGGATACCAGACAAGATGATGAGAGTGATAGCGGGCATATACGTGGGCCTTGGGTGCACAGTTGTCGACAGGAGTGTGACATCTGACTGATTTATGATCAAGTCTGGAGTAAAACAGGGGTGTAGGATATCGCAATTCCTATTCTTATTGTGTTTGGATTGGGTCATAATGAAGGCAACAGCAGACAAGAGAAGAGGGATAAGGTGGAATTTCACAATAGTGCGGCAGGACCTTGATTTCACAGATGACATTGCATTACTGTCATCTATGCTCAATTACTTGCATGAAAAGACTGGGACATTGGCAGAGAAAACAGCCAGAGTAGGACTCAAACTTAATGCGAAAAAGTGCAAGACACTAATGACCAAGTGTGCTAGTAGCCGCGAGAATATTGTGGTGGATGGCAAAGAAGTGATGACGTTGAGGAGTTTACATACCTAGGAGCTACTGTAGACAAGGACGGTAGAGGTAGCAAAGACATTATGGACCGTCCGCACAATGCACATGGCGCATTCTAAAGACTAAGGGGGTCTGGGCAGCTAGAGGAATAGGAAGGAGAACCAAGACATGCCTTTTGAAGACTTATGTTCCAACGGTCCTACTATATGGCTGTGAAACTTGAAACATCACCAAGAACGATGAACGGAAGCTAAATAGCTTCCAGTGCCAGTACCTGAGATGGATACTGCGGATTAGATCGCAGCAGAGAATGACAAACAAGAGAATGGTTGAGTAGGCTGAGATCAATGACATAAGCTGTGAGGTGCGAGGAAGAAGGTGGAACTGACCAGGTCACATATTTAGGAGAGAGGGTGAGGAGGACTGCTTTACTCTTTACTCTTGACTCTTAAAGGTCGGAAGACGGGAGGAAGACCCAAAACTACCTGGAGAAGGACAGTCGAAAAAGGGCGAAACAAAGCTGGGTGGAAGAGCTGGGAAGTAGCCAAAGTGGTTGCACAAGACAGAAAGTGTTGGTCAGACAGCCTGGAGAAAACCAGAAGCGTTGCTAATTAGACAACACTGACTGGGGGTGTTGCTGCTGGGGCTGCAATGACGCTCTTGGGTCAAAGCTAGCCGGAAGCCAAAGGCTGATAGGGTCCATCTTAGCCCCCAAGTGACAGACGATCATCTGTTCCTGGAACACGAGGACCGTGGCAGAGACAACACATGCAAGGCAAGTACCTAAGGAGATGAAAGAGTATGGGATTGAAGGGCTAGGGATAAGTGAGACCAGGTGGAAAGGGACGGGATCGGTAACACTGCAGAGTGGATAGAAGGTGGTGTAGGTAGAAAATGATAAGGTACAACGGGGAGCAGTAGCCATGATGATGATTGCAAGGGCAAAGGAAGCCTTGACGGAATGGATGCCAATTAACAAAAGGATTATTACAGCACGATTCTACTCAAAGTACAAAAAACTGACAGTGGTAAAAGCATATGCACCAACAAATGATGCGATGGATAAGGAAAACAATGAACTCTACAACCTGCTGCCGGACACTGTATCAGACTGCAACGGAAATGGTATTATGGTGGTGAAGGGAGATTTGAATGCCAAGGTAGGCAAAAACAATACAAATAGAGAGGAGGCGTGGGAAAACTGGAACAAATTTCCCTCAAAAAGACATCCATATGCTTACCTGGGGGTCACCAGATGGGAGGACAGTAAACCAGATTCACCATGATTAGTGAATGGACACATGAGAACATCTATATTAGATACCAGAGTAATGACAGGAGCAGACGTATACAGTAAACATTACGTTGTGAAAACGAGGATCTGTCTAAAGTTGGCAAGAGCTGAGGGGAGGAAGAACGTAAAGGAAAGGTTTGACGTAAGTAAACTGCAAAGTGAAGAGACCAAAAACTACTTGGAGAAGGACAGTCAAGAAAGAGCGAAACAAAGCTGGGAAATACCCAAAGTGATTGCACAAGACAGAAAGTGTTAGTCAGACAGCATGGAGGAAATATGCGCCTACTGGCGCGATAACACTTGATGATGATCACGATAAAAATTCCAGTGTTGGAACGATGAGGTCAACATTCTAATGTGTATAAAAGAGGCCAGAATTACAATGTTTGAAGGAATAAGACAAGAATACCAAAGTTTATAAAAATAGGGCCAAAATTTCAAAGTTTGTAAGGAGATCACAATTTCAATGTTTATAAAAATAGGGCCAGAATTCCAATGATTGCAAGGATGAAGTCAGAATTCCAATGTTTATAAAAAAAAGGCCAGAATGACAATGTTTTGAAGGACAAGATCAGAATTCCAATGTTTATAAAAGTAGGACCAGAATTTCAATGCTTGGAAGAATAAGATCACAATTCCAATTTTATAAGGATAGGGCCAGAATTTCAGTGTTTGGAAGTATATGGTCGGACTTCCAATGTTTTGAAGGATAAGATCAGAATTCCAATGTTTATAGAAATAGGGCCAGTATTCAAATGTTTGGAAGGATAAGATCAGAAAACCAATGTGTACAAAAAAAGGGCAAGTATTTAAGTATTTGGAAAGATAAGATCAGAATTCCAATCTTTATAAAAATAGGGCCAGTATTCCTATGTTTGGAAGGATAAGATAAGAATTCCAGTGTTTATAGGAAATAGGGCCAAAATTCCAATGTTTGGAAGGATAAGATCAGAAAACCAATGTGTATAAAATAGGACCAAAATTCCAGTGTTTAGAAAGATAAAATCGGAACTCCAATGTTTATAAAAATAGGGTAGAATTCCAATGTTTGGAAGGATAAGATCAGAATTCTAATGTTTAAAAGGATAGTAACAGATTTCCAATGATTACAAAAATAGGGCCAGAATTCCAATGATTGGAAAGATGAAGTCAGAATTCTAAAGTTTATAAAAAGAAGGCCAGAATTACAATGTTTTGAAAGACAAGATCAGAAGAACGATATTTATAACAAGAGGACCAGAATTTCAATGCTTGGAAGGATAAGATCAAAATTCAAATAATTACAAGGATAAGGCCAGAATTTCGATGTTTGGAAGTATAAGTTCAGACTTCGAATGGTTCTAAAAATTTGCCTAGAATTCCAATGTTTATAGAAATAGGGCCAGTATTCAAATGTTTGGAAGGATAAGATCGGAAAACCAATGTGTACAAATATAGGGTAAGTATTTGAGTATTTGAAAGGATAAGATGAGAATTCCAGTGTTTATAAAAAGGGACCTACATTCCAATGTTTACAAGGATGAGATCAGAATTCCAATGTTCACAAAAATAGGGCCAGTATTCCTACGTTTGGAAGGACGAGAAAATAGGGCCAGAACACCAAAGTTTAGAACGATAAGATCAGAAAGCCAATGTGTATAAAAATAAGGCAAGTATTGAAGTATTTGAAAGGATAAAATCAGAATTCCAACGTTTATAAAAAGGGGCCAAAAATTCCAATGTTTGGAAGGATAAGATCAGAATTCCAATGTTTTTAAAAATAGGGCCAGAATTTCAATGTTTGTAGTGAAAGAATAAGATAAGAATTCCAATGTTTATAAGGACAGGACCAGAATTTCAATGTTTATACAAATAGGGCCAAAATTCCAATGTTTCTGCTCCGAATGGGGTCACCACCTTATCGTGGTAGGGCAGTTTGCGTGTCTCCATGACCCCTAGAGCTATGTCAGCTGGAGTCTTGCCCTCCTGGTAGGGCCACCCATGCCGAAAAGGTCAAAGGGTGGAGACCGGGCAAACAGTGATCCCGCACCTGGTCCTCAAGGTTGGGGTTTGGTCGTAAAGCTTACGACCCCACCACATAAAAACAGTTACAGAAATCAGAAGTGTTGATGATGAGACAACAGTGACTCGGGGTGTCGCTGCTGGGGCTGCAATGACGCTATTGGGTCAAAGCCAGCTCGAAGCCCAAAGGATGAAAGGCCCCCATAGTAGCCTCCAAGCGACAGATGATCATTGGCTCCTGGAACGTGAGGACCATGGTGGAGAAAACACGGGCAGAGCAAGTAGCTAAGGAGATGAAAGAAAATGGGATTGAAGTGCTAACGATAAGTGAGACCAGATGGAAAAGGCTGGATCAGTAACACTGCAGAGTGGAGAGAAGGTGGTGTATGTAGGAAATGATGAGGCACAACAGGGAGGAGTAGCCATCATGAAGAGTATGACGGCAAAGGAAGCCTTGCTGGAATAGACGCAAATTAGCAAAATGATCATTACAGCACGATACAACTTTAAGTACAAAAAACTGACAGTGGTACAAGCATACGCCCCGATAAATGATGCAATGGATAGGCAAAAGAATTAATCCTACAATCACCTGCAGGACACTATTTCAGACTGCAACAGAAATGATGTGATTGTGGTGATGGGAGATTTGAATGCTAAGGTAGGCAACAACAATACCAATAGAAGGGAGGTTATGCGGAAGTTTGGCATTGTTATTATGAATGACAGTGGAGAGAGGTTATGTGACTTCTGTAGTGCAAATGGGTTCATCATAACTGGAACAAACTTCCCTCATAAAGACATCCATAAGCTTACCTGGGTGTCACCAGATGGGAGGACAGTAAACCAGATTCACCATGTTCTAGTGAATGAAAACATGAGAACATCTATTTAGGCACCAGAGTAATGAGAGGAACAGAAGTATATAATGACCATTACCTTGTGAAAACGAGGATCTGTCTAAAGTTGGCAAGAGCTGAGGGGCGGAAGAACGTAAGGGAAAGGTTTGACGTAGTAAACTGAAAAGTGAAAAGATCAGGACGAAGTACAACATTGAGCTGAGGAATAGGTTTAAAGCTTTAGGAGACATAGATGATCCGGAGGAGGAACACGATATGATTTTGGCAACATACAGAGATGGAGCAAAGAAAGTCTTGGGGAGGTCAAACAAACTTAGTACGCCATGGATAGGAAGCAAAAAACGGGAAAAGGATAAGAGAAATTAGTTGGAGAAGAGGGCTGCAGCAGCCGAAAAGGCCGCTGAGAATGGTAGAAGCAAGGAGCTATAGAGCATTACTAAGTCGATAACTGGAGAAAGGCGAAAACAAGAAATACGTGTTGAGGAAAAACAATGGGTGCTTAGTACTGATTAAACAAAAGAAAGACTGCAGAGATAGGTGGGAAGCACTCTAGTAAAATATTACACAGCGATGACCCACGAAATCCTGTGGAAGAGGATGAGATAATAGAATCCGAAGAGATTGAGGAAATAATCTAGGAAGATGGCCATGACAAGAGGTCAAGGATGTGTTGAAGAGGACAAAGCCAGGGAAAGAAGCTGGAGTAGATGAGGTGTGTCTGGAATTATTGAGAGATGACATGGAAGACACTGCAAGTAGGCTGACTAGTTGTTATAACAGGCTTTGGGAATCTAAGAGGTGGCCAAAACTGTGGAAGAAGGAACTTGTTGTTAAGGTGTTCAAGAAAGGTTGTTTGAGCCAATACAAAAACTGGAGAGGAGTGACTTTACTACGTACGTGTCACTAGAAAGATATTCTGTAGGATGCGGTTGGAGAAGATCAAGAAAGGCGTACACAAGAAATTTGAAAGGAGAACGCCGCGTTTGGACCCAAGAAAAGTACAACTGAACACATCTTTATACTTAGAAGCATCTTGAGCAGGCAAATGAGTGGAGGGTGAGTTTGTACGCGCACTTTGTAGACTTTGAAAAAGCCTTTGACTCTGTACATAGAAAACGCGTGTGGAATATCATGACAAGTTATGGGATACCAGACAACATGAGAGTGATAGCGGGCATATACGAGGGCTTTGAGTGCACAGTTGTCGATGGGAGTGTGACATCTGACTGGTTTATGATCAAGTCCATTCCAAAACAGGGGTTCGTGATGTCCGGATTCCTATTTTTACTGGGCTTGGATTGGGTCATGAGGAAGGCACCAACAGACAAGAGAAGAGGGATAAGGTGGAATTTCACATCACTGCTGGAGGACTTGATTTCGCAGATGACATTGCACTACTGTCATCTCCCTTCAATGACTGGCATGAAAGACTGGGAGATTGGCAGAGGAAACAGTCAGAGTAGGATTTAAACTTAATGCGGAAAAATGCGAAACACTAAGAACTGAGTGTGATAGTAGAAGGGAGAATATTGTGGTGGATGGTGAAGAACTAGATGATGTTGAGGAGTTAACAAACCTAGGAGCTATTGTAGACAAGGAGGGTGAAGGTAGCAAAGACATTATGCACGGACTGCAGAAAGCACGTAGCGTATTCCAGACGCTAAGGAGGTTGGGGCAGCTAGAGGAATAGGAAAGAGAACCAAGATAAGCCTATTTTCAAGACTTAAGTTCGAACGGTCCTACTATATGGGTGTGAAACTTGGAAGATCACCAAGAACAATGAACGCAAGCTAAATAGCTTCCAGTGCCCGAACCTGAGACGGATACTGCGGATTAGATGGCAGTTAGCTAAGATCAATGACATACGCTGTGAGGTGCGACAAAGAAGGTTGAACTGGCTAGGTCACATACTAAGGAGGGTGAGATTGACTGCTTTACAGCATTAGGATGGACTCCTGAAGGTGGGAGGGCGAGAGAAGACCACAAACTAATACTACAAAAAAGAGAGAAACAAAGCTGGATGGAAGAGCTGGGAAGTAGAAGAAGCGGTTGCGAAAGACAGAAAGTATTGGTCAGACAGTGTGGATGGCTTATGTGCCTTGTGGTGCGATGAGAGTTGCCGATGATGATGATGATGAAAATTCCAATGTTTGGAAGGATGAGGTCAAAATTCTAATGTGTATAAAAATAGGGCCAGAATTCCAATGCTTGGAGGGATAAGATAAGAATACCAATGTTTATAAAAATAGGGCCACAATTCCAAAGTTTGGAAGGAGATCGTACTTCCAATAGTTATTGAAATAGTGCCAGAATAACCAATGTTTGGAAGGATAAGATCAGAACACCAATGTGATTAAAACTAGGGCCAACATTCCAGTGTTTGGAAAGATGAGATGAGAATTCCAGTGTTCAAAAAAATAAAGTAGAATTACAATGTTTGGTTAGGGCCAGTATTCCTATGTTTGGAAGGATAAGATCATAACTCCAACGTTAATAGAAATAGGGCCAGAATAGCAATGTTTAGAACGATAAGATCAGAAACCCAATGTGTAATATAAGATGGGAATTCCAATGTTTGGAAGGATGAAGTCACAATTCCAATGTTTATAAAAATAGGGCCAGAATTCCAATATTTTGAAGGATAAGATCAAATTTCCCATGGTTATAAAAATAGGGCCAGGATTTCAATGCTTAGAAGGATAAGATCAGGTTTCCAATGTTTATAGAAATACCGGTAGGGCCAGAATCCCTATGTTTGGAAGGATAAGATCAGAATTTCAATATTTATAGAAATAGGGCCAGAATACCAATGTTTGAAACGATAAGATCAGAAAACCAATTTCAGTGTTTGGAAGGATAAGATGACAATTCCAATATTTTTAAAAATAGGGTCAAAATTCAAATGATTGGAAGGATGAAGTGAGAATTACAATGTCTACAAAAATAGGGCCAGAATTCTAATGGGTTGGAGGATAAGATCAGAATTTTAATGTTTATGGAAATAGGGCCAGATTACCAATGTTTAGAAAGATAAGATCAGAAAACCAATGTGTATAAAGAAAGTGCAAGTATTCGAGTATTCGGAAAGATAAGATCAAAAAACCAAAGTGTATAAAAATAGGGCAAGTATTCGAGTATTTGGAAGGATAAGATCACAATTCCACTGTTTATAAAAGTAGGGCTAGAATTCCCATGTTTGGAAGGAAAACATCAGAATTCCAAAGTTTATACAAATAGGGCCAGAATACCAACGTTTGGAAGGATAAGATCAGAAAACCAATGTGTATAAAAATAGAGTCAGAATTTCAGTGTTTGGAAGGATAAGATGACAATTCTAATATTTATGAAAATAGGGTCAAAATTCAAATGATTGGAAGGATGAAGTGAGAATTACAATGTCTATAAAAACAGGGCCAGAATTCTAATGTAGAATTAAGAAGAATAAAACCAGAATTCCAATTAGTCGCAAAGAAATTATTCTTTTAGCTCAAATCATCCTCTCTTGCTCTCAAAAGAAGTCATTTGTGGTTTGTACCTTTTGTTCTTAGAAGATTGTTATTGAAATAGGGCCAGAATACCTATGTTTAGAACGATAAGATCAGAAAACCAGTGTGTATAAAGATAGAGGCAGAATTTCAGTGTTTGGAAAGGTAAGATGAGAATTCCAATGTTTATAAAAATAGGGCCAAAACCCCAATGTTTCTCCTCCGTATAGGGTCACCACCTTATCGTGGTGGGGCAGTTTGAGTGTCTCCGTGATCCCTAGAGCTATGTTGGCTGCAGTCTTGTACTCCTGGTAAAGCCACCCATGCCAAAAGGGTTGAAGGGTAGAGACCAGACAAAGAGTCACCCCATGGTCCTCCAGGTTAAAAGTTGGGCGAAGGGCTAAAGACCCTACGACACAAAAACACTAACTGTTACAAAAACCGTAAGCATTGATGAGGAAACAACACCGATGAAGGGTGTTGTTGCTGGAGCTGAAACGACGATCTTGAGTCAAAACCAGTCGGAAGCCTAAAGTCTGATAGGGCCCCATAGTAGCCCCCACGCGCCAGACAACCATTGGTTGCTAGAGTGTGAGGACCATGGCAGACACAACACGGGCAGGGCAAGTCGTTAAGGAGATGAAAGGGTATTGGATTAAAGTGGTAGGGATAAGCGAGACCAGGTGGAAAGGGACGGTATCAGTAACACTGCAGAGTGGAGAGAAGGTGGTGTACGTAGGAAACGATGAGGCACAACAGGGAGGAGTAGCCATCATGAAGAGTATGACGGCAAAGGGAGCCTTGATACAATCGATGCCAACTAGCAAAATGATTATTACAGCACCATACTACTACTGAGGGTGGTACAAACATATGCCCCAATAAATGATAGAATGGATGAGCAAAAGAATGAATCGTACAATCAGCTGCAGGACACTATTTCAGACTAGAACAAATGATCTGCTCGTGGTGATGGGAAATTTGAATGCTAAGGTAGGCAACAACAATACCAATAGAAAGGAGGTTATGCGGAAGTTTGGCACTGGTATTATGAATGATAGTGGAGAAAGGAAATGTGACTTCTGTAGTGCAAATGGGTTCATCATAACTGGAACACAACTCCCTCATAAAGACAACCATAAGCTTACCTGTGGGTCACCAGGTAAACCAGATTCACCATGTTCTAGTGAATGGAAACATGAGAACATCTATTTAGACACCAGAGTAATGAGAGGAACAGTATACAATGACCATTACCTTGTGACAACAAGGATCTGTCTAAAGTTGGCAAGAGCTGAGGGCAGGAAGAACGTCAGGGAAAGGTTTGACGTAAGTAAACTGCCTAGTGAAGAGCTCAGGAGGAAGTACAACACTGAGGTGAGGAATAGGTTTGGAGCTCTAGGAGACATAGATGATCCGGAGGAAGAACACGATATGATTTTGACAACATACAGAGATGGAGCAAAGAGAGTCTTGGGGTGGTCAAAGAAACTTAGTAGGCCATGGATAGGAAGCAAAACATCGGAAAAGATCAAGGAGTGAATATCTTGTTAAGATATTCAAGAAAGGTTGTTTGCACGAATGCAACAACTGGAGAGGAGTGAAGTTACTATGTACATGTCACTAGAAAGATATTCTGTAGGATGCGGTTGGAGCGGATCAAGAAAGGTGTAGACACGAAATTTGAAAGGAGCAGGCTGAGTTTGGACCCAAGAAAAGTACAACCGAACAGATCTTTATATTTAGTAACATCTTGAGCAGGCAAATGGGTGGAAAGCGAGTCTGTATCCGCACTTTGGAGCAAAAAAAGTCTTTAAGAGGTCAAAGAAACTTAGCAGGCCATGGACAGGAAGCAAATAATTGAAAAAGATCAATGAGAGGAAAGAGGCAAAATTGAAATTGGAGGGTACAAGATCGGAACAACTGACAGAGAGAAGGAACGAGGAGTATAATGTGAAGAACAAACAAGTGAAAATGGAGTACTAGGAAGGATAAGAGAAATTGGTTAAAGAGGGCTGCAACAGCGGAAAAGGCAGTTGAAAATGGTAGCAGCAAGGAGCTATATAGCATTACTAAGTCAATAACTGGAGAAAGACAGAAACAAGGTGTTGAGCAGAAACAACGGGTGCTTAGTACTGAAACAAAAGAAAGACTGCAGAGAGAAGTGGAGCACTTTAATAAAATATTAAACAGAGATGACCCATGGAATCCCGTGGTAGAGGATGAGACAGTAGAATTGGGAGAGATTGAGGAAATAATCTAGGAAGATGACGATGACAAGAGTTCAAGGATGTCTTGAGGAGGACAGCCAGGGAAAGCAGCTTGAGAAGATGAATTGTCTCCGGAATTATTGAGAGGTGACATGGAGGTTATTGAAAGCGAGTCTGTATGTGCACTTTGTAGACTTTGATAAAGCCTTCGACTCTGTACATAGAGAAAGCCTATGGAATATCATGACAAGTTGTGGGATACCAGACAAGACGGTGGGAGTGAAAGCGGACGTATACGAGGGCTTTGAGTGCACAGTTGTCGAACGTCCAGGCTAAAACAGGGGTTCATGATGTCTAGATTTCTATTCTTACTGTGCTTGGATTGGGTCATGAGGAAGGCACCAACAGACAAGAGAAGAGGGATAAGGTGGAATTTCACATCACTGCTGGAGGACCTTGTTTTCACAAGTGACATTGCACTACTGTCATCTCCGTTCAATGACTTGCATAAAAAGACTGGGAGATTGGTGGAAGAAACAGCCAGAGTAGGACTTAAACTTAATGCGAGAAAGTGCAGATGGTGGATGGCGAAGAAGTGGATGATGTTGAGGAGTTACCATACCACGAAGTTATTGTAGACAAGGAGGGTAGAGGAAGCAAAGACATTATGCACCATCTGCAGAAAGTATGTGGCGCATTCCAGACACAAAGAAGAGTCCGGGCAGCTAGAGGAATAGGAAGGACAACCAGGATACGTCTATTCAAGACTTAAGTTCGAACGGTCCTCTTATATGGCTGTGAAACTTGAATGGAAACATGAGAACATCTATTTAGACACCAGAGTAATGAGAGGAACAGTATACAGTGACCATTTCCTTGTGACAAGATAGATCTGTCTAAAGTTGGCAAGAGCTGAGGGCAGGAAGAACGTCAGGGAAAGGTTTGACGTAAGTAAACTGCCTAGAGAAGAGATCAAGAGGAAGCACAACACTGAGGTGACGAATAGGTTTGGAGCTTTAGGAGACATAGATGATCCGGAGGAAGAACACGATATGATTTTAGCAACATACAGAGATGGAGCAAAGAAAGTCTTGGGGAGGTCAAAGAAACTTAGTAGGCCATGGACAGGAAGCAAAGATGGGAAAAACCAAGGAGACAAAAGGGGAAAAATTGAAATTGGAGGGTGCAAGATTGGAAGGACTAAAAGAGAGAAGATGCGAGGAGTTTAGTGCGAAGAACAACAAACGAAACGAAGAGCTAGGGAGGATAAGGAAAGATGGTAGAGAAGAGGGCAGCAGCAGCAGAAAAGACCGCTGAGAATGGTAGAAACAAGGAGCTATACAGCATTACTAAGTAGATAACTGGAGAAAGGAAGAAACAAGCTATAGGTGTTGAGGACAAACAAGGGGTGCTTAGGACTGGAACAACAGAAAGACTGCAGAGATGGGTGGAGCACTTTAGTGAAATATTAAACAGAGATGGCCCCACGAATCCTGTGGAAGAGGATGGGATAGTACAATCGGAAGACATTAAGGAAATAGATCTAGGAAGATGGCGATCACAAGAGGTCAAGGATGCGTTGAAGAGGACAAATCCAGGGAAAGCGGGCAGGAGTAGATAACATGTGCCCGTAATTATTGAGAGCTGACATGGATACACTACAAGTAGGCTGACTTGTTACAACAGGCTTTGGGAAACTGAGGTGGCGGAAAGTGTGGAAGAAGAGGCTTGTTGTTAACGTATTCAAGAAAGTTAGTTTGCCCGAATGCAACAACTGCAGAAGAGTGACTTTAGTACCTGTCATTAGTAAGATATCCTGTAGGATGCGGTTAGAGCGGATCACGAAAGGCATAGACAGGAAACTTCGAAAGGAGCAGGCTGGGTTTTGACCCAAGAGAAATACAGCTGAACAGATCTTTATACTTAAAAACATCTTAGGGCAGGCAAATGAGTCGAGGGCGGGTCTGTATGCACACTTTGTTGTAGACTTTGAAATACCCTTTGACTCTGTACAGAGTGAAAGATTATGGAATATCATGAGAAGTTACGGGATACCAGGCAAGATGGTAAGAGTAATAGCAGGCATATACGTGGGCTTTGAGCGCACAGTTGTCGACGGGAGTGTGACATCTGACTGGTTTATGATCAAGACTGGAGGAAAACAGGGGTCCATGATGTCGGGATTCTAAGCCTTACTGTGAATGGATTGGGTCAAGAGGAAGGAAACAGCAGACAAGAGAACAGGGATAAGGTCGAATTTCACAAAAGTGGTGGAGGACCATGATTTCGCAGATGACATTGCACTACTGTCAACTACATTCAATGACTTGCATGAAAAGACTGGGAGATTGGCAGAGAAAGTAGCCAGAGTAGGACTCAAACTTATGCAAGAAAGTGCAAGACACTATGGACTGAGTGTGCTAGTAGAAGGGAGAATATTGTGTGCATGGCGAAGAAGTGGACGACGTTGAGGAGTTGCGGCAAAGAAGGTGCAACTGACTAGGTCACATACTAAGGAGTGAGGGTGAGAGCGACTGCTTTACAGCATTAGGATTGGCTCCTAAAGGTCTAAGGACGAGAGGAAGACCAAAAACTACTTGAAAAAGGACAGTCGAGAAAGAAACCTGGGTGGGAGAGCTGGGAAGTAGAAAAAGCGGTTGCACAAGACAGAAACCGTTGGTCAGACAGCACGGAGAAACCAGAAGAGTTGATAAGGACACAACACGGACTGGGGGTGTTGCTGCTACCCAGAAGCCCAAAGGCTGATAGGCCCCATAGTAGCCCCTAAGCGACATACGATCATCGACTGCTGGAACGCGAGGACCATGGCAGAGACAACACGGGCAGGGCCAGTAGCTAAGGAAATGAAAGAGTATGGGTTTCAAGTGCTTAGGGATAAGTGAGACCAGGTGGAAAGGGACGGGATCAGTAACACTGCAGAGTGGAGAGAAGGTGATGTACCTAGAAAATGATAACATACAACGGGGAAAAGTAGCCATCATGAAGAGTGGGAGGGCAAAGGGAGCCTTTCTGGAATCAAGGCCAATCAGCAAAATGATCATTACAGCATGATACTACTCTCAAAGTACAGAAAAGTGACGGTGGTACAACCATATGCACCAATACATGATGCAATGGATGAGCAAAAAGAATGAATCCTACAACCAGCTGCAGGACACTATTTCAGACTGCAACAGAAAAGATGTGATTGTGGTGATAGGAGATTTGAATGCTAAGGTGCGCAACAACAATACCAATAGAAAGGAAGAGATGCGGAAGTTTGGCATTAGTATTATAAATGATAGTGGAGAGAGGAAATGTGACTTCTGTAGTGCAAATGGGTTCATCATAACTGGAACAAACTTCCCTCATAAAGACATCCATAAGCTTACCTGGGGGTCACCAGATAGGAGGACAGGAAACCAGATTGACCATGTTCTAGTGAATTGAAACATGAGAACATCTATTTAAACACCAACGTAATGAGAGGAACAGACGTATACAGTGAACATTACTTTGTGAAAACGAGGATCTGTCTAAAGTTGGCAAGAGCTGAGGGGAGGAAGAAGGTAAGGGAAAGGTTTGACGTAAGTAAACTGCAAAGTGAAAAGATCAGGAGGAAGCACAAAAATGAGGCGAGGAATACGTTTGAAGCTTTAGGAGACATAGATGATCCGGAGGAAGAACACGATATGATTTTGTCAACGTACGGAGATGGAGCAAGGAAAGTTTGGGGAGGTCAAACAAACTTAGGAGGCCACGGATAGGAAGCAAAACATCGGAAAAGATCAAGAGGAGGAAAGAGGCAAAATTGAAATTGCAGGGTGCAAGATTGGAGTGCCTAAAAGAGAGAAGGAGTGAGGAGTATAATGCCAAGAACAACAAAGTGAAACAGAGTGCTAGGGAGGATAACAGAAGTTGGTAGAGAAGAGGGCAGCAGCAGCGGTAAAGGCCGCTGAGAATGGTAGGGGCAAGGAACTATACAGCATTACTAAGTCGATAACTGGAAAAAAGGGGAAACAAGAAATACGTGTTGAGGACAAACAAAGGGTGCTTAGGACTGAAACAAAAGAAGGACTGCAGAGATGGGTGAAGCACTTTAATGAAATATTAAACAGAGATGACCCAACGAATCCTGTGGAAGAGCATGAGATATTAGAATCGGAGGAGATTGAGGAAAATAGATCTAGGAAGATGGTGATGACAGGAGGTCAAGGATGCGTTGAAGAGGACAAATCCAGGGAAAGCGGCTTGAGTAGATGAGGTGTGTCCAGAATTATTGAGAGGTGTCATGGAAGACACTGCAAGTAGGCTGACCAGTTGTTACAACAGTGTTTGGGAAACTAAGAGGTGGCCAAAACTGTGGAAGAAGGAAGTTGTTGAGATATTCGAGAAAGATAGTTTGCGCGAATACAACAACTGAAGAGAAGTGACTTTACTACCTGTCACTAGTACGATATTCTGTAGGACGGTATTGGAGCTGTTCAATAAAGGTGTAGACAAGAAATTTGAAAGCAGCAGGCGGAGTTTGGACCCAAGAAAAGTACAACTGAACAGATCTTTATACTTAGTAACATCTTGAGCAGGCAAATGAGTGGAGGGCGAGTTTGTATGCGCACTTGGTAGACTTTGAAAAAGCCTTTTGACTCTGTACATAGGAAAGCTTATGGAATATCATGAGAAGTTATGGGATACCAGACAAGATGGTGAGAGTGATAGCGGACATATACAGAATTCCAATGTTTGGAGGGATTAAAGATCAGGAAACCACCGTGTATAAAAACAGGGCCAAAATTCCAGTGTTTAGAAAGATAAGATGAGAATTCCAATGTTTATAAAAATACGGGAGAATTCCAGTGTTTGGAAGGATAAGATGAGAATTCCAATGTTTCAAAGGATAGTAACAGATTTCCAGTGTTTACAAAAATAGGGCCAGAATACCAATGATTGGAAGGATGAAGTCTGAATTCCAAAGTTTATAAAAAGAGGGCCAGAATTGCAATGTTTTAAACGACAAGATCAATAAAAATGTTTATAACAATAGGGCCAGAATTTCAATGCTTGGAAGGATAAGATCAGAATTCAAATAATTAGAAGGATAACGCCAGAATTTCAATGTTTGGAAGTATAAGGTCAGACTGCCACTGTTTATAAACGTTTGCCCAGAATTCCAGTGTTTAAAGAAATTGGGCCAGTATTCAAATGTTTGGAAGGATAAGATTGGAAAACCAATGTGTAAAAAAATAGGGCCAGTATTCCTGTGTTTGGAAGGATAATATCATAATTCCAACGTTTATAAAAATAGGGCCAGAATACCAATGTTTAGAACGATAACATCAGAAACCCAGTGTGTATAAAAATAGGGCAAGTATTGGAGTATTTGGAAGGATAAGATCAGAATTCCAACGTTTATAAAAAGGGGCCAAAAATTCCAATCTTTGGAAGGATAAGATCAGAATTCCAAGGTTTATAAAAATAGGGTCAGAATTCCAGTGTTTGGAAGGATAAGATCAGAATCCCAACGTTTATAGAAAGAGGACCAGAATACCAATGTTTGGAACGATAAAATCAGAAAACCAATGTGTAGAAAAATAGAGCCAGAATTTCAGTGCTTGGAAGGATAAAATGACAATTCTAATATTTATAAAAATAGGGTCAAAATTCAAATTATTGGAAGGATGAAGTGAGAATTACAATGTCTATAAAGATAGGGCCAGAATTATAATGTTTTGAAGGATAAGATAAGAATTCCAATGTTTATAGAAATAGGGCCAGAATACCAATGTTTGGAAAGATAAGATCGGAAAACCAATGTATAAAAAAATATAGCCTGAATTTCAGTGTTTGGAAAGAGAGAATTCCAATGTTTATAAAAATATATGGGGTCACCAACTTGTGAAAATTCCATTGTTTCTTGTACTCCTGGTAAGACCACCCATGCCAAAAAGGTCATATGGGGTCATCAACTCCTCCAGGTGGGGGTGGGCAGTTTACAACATAAAAACACTAACTGTTACACAAACCACAAGTGTTGATAAGGAGACAACACTGACCGGGAGTGATGTTGCTAGGGCTGCAGTGACGATCTTGAGTCAAAGCCAGCCAGAAACCCAAAGTCCGATAGGGCCCCTTAGTAGCCCCCCAAGCGACAGACGATCATCGGTTGCTGGAATGTGAGGACCATGGCGGAGACCAAACAGGCAGCGCAAGTAGCTAAGGACATGAAAGGGTATTGGATAAAAGTGGTTACTGGAGTAGATGAGGTGTGTCCGGAATTATTGAGAGCTGACATGGGAGACACTGCAAGTAGGGTGACTAGTTGTCACGAGAAGCTTTGGGAAACTTAGAGGTGGCCAAAACTGTGGAAGAAGGAACTTGTTCTTAAGGTATTAAAGAGAGGTGGTTTGCACGAATGCAACAATTGGAGAGGAGTGACTTAACTACCTGTCATTAGTAGCATATTTTGTAGGATGCGGTTGGAGCAGACCAACAAAGGCGTAGACAAGAAACTTTGAAATAAGCAGGCTGTTTCACCGTACAACTGAACAGACCTTTTTACTTGAAACATCTTAGAGCAGGCAAATGTGTGGAAGGCGGGTCTGTTTGGGCACTTTGTAGACTCTGAAAAAGTCTTTGACTCTGTACATAGAGGAAGCCTATGGAATATCATGAGAAGTCATGGGATACCAGACAAGATGGTGAGAGTGATAGCGGAAATACACTTGGGGTTTGAGTTCACAGTTGTCGACGGGAGTGTGACATCTGAATGGTTTATAATCAAGTCTGGGGTAAAATGGGTGCCCGATGTCGGGATTCCTATTTTTACTCTGCTTGGATAGGGTCGTGAGGAAGGCAACAGTAAACAAGAGAAGAGGGATAAGGTGAAATTTCAAAACAGTGCTGGAGGACCTCGATTTCGCAGATGACAGTGCACTACTGTCATCTACGTTCAATGACTTGCATAAAAAGACTGGGAGATTGGCGGAGGAAGCAGCAAGAAGCACTCAAACTTAATGCGAGAAAATGCAAGACACTAAGGACTGAGTGTACTAGTAGCAGGAAGAATATTGTGGTGGATGGCGAAGAAGTGGATCACGTTGAGTAGTTTACATACCTAGCAAAGACATCATGCACCGTCTGAAGAAAGCATTTGGTGCATTCCAGAGACTAAGGAGGGTCTACGAAGCTAGAGGAAGAGGAAGGAGAACCAAGATAAGCCTGTTTTCAAGACCTAAGTTCGAACGGTCCTACTTTATGGGTGTGAAACTTGGACGATCACCAAGAACAATGAACGGAAGCTTAATAGCTTCCAGTACCAGTACATGAGACGGATACTGGGGATTAGATGGCAGCAGAGAAGGACAAAAAAAGAGTGGTTGAGGTGGCTGAGATCAATGATAGGCGTTACGCGCTTACTGGCGTGATTGATGAGACTTGATTATGATGACGATGAAAATTCCAGTATTTGTAAGGATGAGGTCAAAATTTCAATGTTTATAAAAAAAGGGCCAGAATTCCAGTGTTTGGAAGGATAAGATGAGAATTAAAATGTTCTTAAAAACAGGGCTAGAATTCCAGTGTTTGTAAGGATAAGATCAGAATTCCAATGTTTAAATGGATAATAACAGAATTCCAGTGTTTATAAAAATAGGGGAAGGATAAGGTCAGAATTCCACTGTTTCAAAGGATAAGATTATAATTCCAATGTATTGAAGGAGAAGGTCAGAATTCCAATGTTTATAAAAATAGGGCCAGAATGTCAATGTTTGGAAAGATAAGATAAGAATACCAATGTTTATATAAACAGGGCCTGAATTCCTATGTTTGGAAGGATAATATAAGAATTCCAGTGTTTTAAAAATAGGGCCCAAGTTAGAATGTTTGGAAGGAGAAGATCAGAATTGCAATGTTAAAAAGGATAAGAACAGAATTCCAATGTTTGGAAGGATAAGGTCAGATTTCCTGAATATTTAAAAGGATCAGAATAGAATTCCAGTGTTTATAAAAATAAAGCCCGAATTCCAGTGTTTGGAAGGATAGGTTAATAATTTTATTCCGATGTTTGGAAAGATACGACTAGAATTCTAGTGCTTTTAAGGATAGGGCCAGAATTCCAATCTTTGAAAGGATCAGATCAGAATTCCACTGTGTATAAAAATAGGGCCAGAATTCCAGTATTTGGAAGGATAAGGTCATAATTCCAATGTATATAGAAACAGAGCCAGTATTCCAATGTTTGGAGGGATAAGTCAGAAAACAAATGTTTATGGAAATAGGGCCAGTATTCAAATGTTTTAAGGGATAAGGTCAGAAAACCAAACTAAGGATACAGTCGGAATTCCACTGTTTATAAAAATAGGGTCAAAATTCAAATGTTTGGAAGGATAAGATAGGAATCCAAATTTTTATAGTGTAGGAATATGTCAAAAAATCATGTGAATGGTTCGACCCTAGGGGTTTCTTAAAGAAGCTGTTACTGAAGTTCATAATGGTTCAGCAGGTGGCCATTTAGGAAGTATAAAGACCTTGGGAAAAAAATAAAAGCCAGGTCCTGGAGACCAGGGTTGACCAAAGCAGTGAATAGGTGCGATAGCAGTTGTCTGATATGGGCCAAGCACAAGTCTGGACCAAAACCAAAGGCACCCCTACATCCAATACCATACAGGAACTACTCGGAGTTTGTCAATGACCTTCACGATAGGTTAGAATCTGCACATCGTGATGTAAGGTAAAGTCTGCAAGTAGCTAGGCATAGGCAGAGAGATGCATGATAAAGACACTAGACACGCTGTTTTTCAAACTGGAGATTTAGTGCAATGCTACACTCTATAGCTGAAACTAGTTGAAGCAAACTAATTCCACTGACAGTGGGAGGGACCGTTTGAAATGAAGGAACACGTCAGGGGACATTCCAGGAAATCTCAAGTAGTTCATTTCTACAACCTGCAGTTGTGAAGATTCTCAAAATGGTGAGATGAGCGGGGAAGAGACAAGAGAAGACGAACACGAGGTCAGAGGTGATTATCACAACAGAAAAAGTAATTATTGAGGTTGGGGCCTATGATGAGCTTCCTGGTGAGGTTGTAAATGTGCCAGGCGAAAGTGAATATCTTTTCTCCCTTCCTGATATGGTTCCAGGAGGAGAACACGAAATCGGTGGTGAATGTGATAAGGGAGTA